GGCCGCTCCCTCGTCTAATATATCTGGGTTTGGTCCAAGTCCATTCATGGCAGCACCATTCACAGTTGCTGGAGGTGGAACCACCCCAAAGGTGTGGTGACCCAGTGTCCACCTGGACACACTGCTCCTGTCCTACAGTGGACCCTTCTTCAGTCTCAAAGAGGAATGAAGTGTCCATGGGTGCCACAATGTGAATGAACCTCGAAATCATCATGCAGAGTGTCTGATTCCCTTTATGTGTGACATCCAGAGTGGACAGAGAGACAGAGAGCCAGGGCTGGGGGCGGTGTGAGTGCATGTTTTGTTTGAAGGGGCAATGAAAATACCTTGGCACCAGATAGAGGGTGCACAGCACTGTGTTTCTACTAAATGCCATCGACTTGCACACTTTATTTTTTTTAAAGATTTATTTATTTATACAAGAACTGGGGTACAGTCAAAGGCGTGGGAGGGTAAGAGAATTCACCAGAGCCAGAGCAGGGAGCAGAACAGGCAGATCTACTGAAATACACTGCTGAGGGGAGCAGGGGCGAGACAGGAGAGGTCTGCTGTGCCATGTGGGTAGCTCCCTGGGCAGCCGGGAATCGAACCCACGGCTTCAGAGGCTGCAGACAGCTTCACAGCACGGCGCTCAACCCGGGGAGGTCCCACACTTTATTTTAAATGGCTTTTTTTTTAATTAATTAATTAGTTTGTTTATTTATTTATTTATTTATACAAGCACCGGGTACAGTCAGAAGCGTGCGAAGGTGAGAGAATTCACCAGAGCCAGAGCAGGGAGCAGAGCAGGCAGAAGGACCGAAGGACACTGCTGAGGGGAGCAGCGGGCGGCAGGAGAGGTCTGCGCGCCATGTGGGACCCTCCTCCAGTGGCCGGGGAGCAGCCGGGGATTGAACCAGTGCTGCAGAGGCTGCGGGCAGCTTCGCAACCCAGCGCTCAACCGCTGCGCCACCGGGGAGGCCCTCCCACACTTTATTTTAAAAGATTTTTGTGCACTTTAAAATGGTTAATCTTATGCTATGTGGATTTCACTTTCATTAAAAAAAAGTAAAAAAAAGATAACCACTTGGAGGACTGATCTAGTTTACAAGTAAAATAAATTTGCAAAGGGGGGTAAAAGCCAAGGAAGGAACAGTGGGCACAGGCTCTAATATTGGTGTTACCTGCTGAAGGAGAAAGAAAATTCCGCAGGTACGCACCGGACCTCCCCTGACTTCCCCTGGCTCCTGCCCTGGAGACAGGTTTGGGGGTGTGTGGGAAGCAGGGGACCGGACGTTTCAGGCTTTGTGCCATGGGGGGTTCAGATCTGCCTGCACTCTTCACTAGCTAGTCACAGCAATGAGCAGCTTGGAGCTGAGTCTCAGTTTCCCATCTGTGCAATAAGGGAAGATAGCAGAGCCTGCCCTGGGGGTCTGTAGGGGGGGGTCCAGTCTGGGACACAGTGAAAATTCCACACCCAGGGAGGCCTGTCATCCCCTGAGCCCCGGACGGGGAAGCCCTTGAGGCCCAGCTGCTACCCTTGCCACTTCCTGGTCCTGCCCTGACCTTCTGGGGCCTTCCTGAGACATCCATGACCCGCCACCCCCTCAGCTGCATTTCCAGGCATTCAGCCAAACTCCCCGCCCATGTGCTCAATCTGTCCTGCGCCAGCTGCTTCCTGTGCTCAGACAAAGAGAGCTCTGTCCCCAGGCCACCCCAGCAGGCGAGACAGGCCCCGCACGCCCCACACGCCACTGCAGGCACACCTCCCCAGTGTCTGTGCCCAAGACGATCCTGCCCTGTCTACCCTGTGCCCACCCCTTCTCCAGGCCTGTGCCGTGGGCTTTTGGAGTCCTCTAGCCCTGGACACACAGCTGAGCCCTGCCGCGAGAGGGTCTCCCGGTTGCACAGAAAATCCAGAGGAGCATGTGGGGGGCAGATGGCGCTGGACGGACTCAGAGGGACTGTAACAGCATGACAGAAACAGGAGATGATGCTTAGGGTCCCATAATGGTGCGGGTGACAGTGGAGACAATGTGACAGCAGCAGATAGTAATGAGACACGGTGACAGCAACAGGTGACCCTGTGATATGAAAGTGATAATTGCTGTAATGTCCGTAGGGAGCCAAAGGACAATAGGACAACGGACAATAAAGGGACAATATGTGAAAATGACAGGCGACAACAGGGTGACCGCAGGACTGGCGGTGACAGCGATGGAGACAGTGAGACAGAAGCAGCAGCTGACGACAGGCAGGCACGGCCCTGTTCAGCCCCCGGGTGCCCGCGCCGCCCCCTAGGCCTGGATGCCCACGTCATGTGGCAGGCCCCACAACAGACCCTCAAGACACTGGTTCCCCATTTTCCAGCCCCCTCATGCAGTAAGGCAGCCCCTTCCCACATCCCTCCAGCCAAGTGCCTCCACCCTGAACTTTGACAGGTGGTGCCTCACAGTGGGCCCTGGCACTCTGATCTGCTGAGCTGGTTGGCAGCTTCCTGTGTGCACGGCCACCAAGCTCATCTGAGCTCAGGGGAGCAGAGAGGGGGTGGGTGCTGCCTTTGTGGCACCAGGTCTGTGTGTGATTTGGGGACCACTCTGCTGGCTGCAGAGACCCCAAGTTTGGTTTTCCAGTCTCCTGGGGAGTTTGTGTGCCCCCAAGTGCCTTTCTGCTGAGACTAGCCAGTGATGATTTCTGTTGCTTGCAGCTTAAGAATCCTGACACTCTGGTGACAGCACGATTGTTAATGGGCAAAATTGAAGCATGACAGTGACAGGAGACAACATAAACATCACAGGCATCAGTGTGAGGAGGAGGTGGAGCGGTGTCTGGGTGACTGGTGACAATGAAGATGAGAGCGGCGGGTGACAGTGATGGGTTTGGTGGAGATGCAATACTGGTGGGGAGACCCTGTGACATGGGCTGCCCTTGTGACAGTTCTGGGGTGGTGATGGGATGTTGGGGAGAGCCTACTGGCCTTTGTGACAGTGGGGTGCAATGGAGTGTCCACACAGGTGACACTCTAGTTTGACCACATCAGTAATGGACAGCAGGATAACAGATCCAGGCAGTGGTGCCATCGGAAGGCAGGATGGTGAGAAGGTAGAGGGGGGTGCAGTGACAAGGGGCACCCACTCTGCTGATGACACCTGCTGGTGCATCACAGCACAGGCTACGTCATGTCCCTGGTATGGGACTATCCCTCCCCACCTTCTGCACAGGCGCCAGACAGCTCTGGACAACCTAGAGCCTGTGCCAGTGTGCACGGAAGACACACCTGCAAGCTGACGAGCAGCCCAGGGTGGACCTTGGCAGAGGAGGCCGGGAAAGCACCATCGAGGCATCCCCCCCACTGAAGCTGGCCTACCCCACAGCCCCTGGGCCCTCCCACATCTCTGTCACTGCTGTTCTAACATGATTGTGGGGTTCCTTCCTATGCCATCCAGCCCTCCTGGCTCTTCTCAGACTCCAGAAACCCTGCCTGGGTCTTGTTCTCTCTGTCCACGCGCCTCCCAGCCCAGCCCAGCCCTGGGACCCTCATTGCTGTCCACTCAGTTCTAGACCCCAAGGTACAGCCCCAGGGGGGCTCCCTCGGAAGTGGGGGAGGTGGTGCCGTGGGGAGTGTGCCGTGGGGAGAGTGTGCCGAGGGCTCCTGGTGCTCCAAGCCTCCCGCCTTCCCCCAAGGTTCCAGGTGTATCCAATTCCAGCACATTCCATGCCCTGTGGTCTCTAGGTCCTTCCCAGGCAGATTAGACTGTTCCTTTCTCTACCATTCCTGGGGTTCCTCTCTGGCCTGGAAGTGTCAGGGTCCCAGTCTGATTCTCCCTCATAGTGTGTGTGTGTGTGTGTGTGTGTGTGTGTGTGTGTGTGTGTGTGTGTTAGAGAGAAGGAGCGAGAGAGAGGGAAAGAAATTAGATGTGAAACTCTTAGCACCAAACCTGGCATGTAAGCACTGAATACGTATTAGCTCAAATTGTTATTTGTGAGCAATAAAAATTACATTTCAGATGTGCCATGATGGAGCACAGTCAACACAATCAACTTTGGGAATTCAATAAGGTAAATTGACAATTTGGTGTGGGAAGGGATTTTTTGAACTGGGTTTTGCCAAATGCATAGGAGTTTGCCAAGTACAATAACAACTTCAGATCCGACAATTTCTGATCCCTAGTTGAGGATAACTGATGGTTTTTGATTTCAAGAGTGAGAAAATGGTAATGAAGCCTGGAAGTGTTCACTTGGCCTGCAGACCCTCGATGGGGAGTGGAAATTCTGAAGTTGGCCTCCGCGACTGATAGAGAAATTGAGGCTCAGAATCTAGACTTTTAGGATTCTTAAATTTTTCATTTTTGAGAGTCAGATGAAAAATGTAGACCTTTTCTCCAAGAAAGGCATTTTTTTTCTTCCCAAAGCGTTGCCTGCATTTTTAGGGGCTTTCGGATCTAACTTAGCTCAGAATCCAGGTTCCAGGCCGAGGAGGTGAGTTACCAACTTCTCCCTCGGAATTCGCACCGAAGCGGGGTGGAGGCGAGGCGGCTGGGGGGCGGGTGGGGGGGCGTAGGAGGGCCTCCCAGGTGAGTCCCGGGACCTCCCCACCCTGGCTTTCTCCCAGGCGGCCCACGCGGAGCCCCACCTCAGCGCCACCCCCAGCTCAACTCCCATCCCAAGCCGCGCCCCCCCGGTCCTCGCGCCCAGCGCCTGAGAACTGCGCCCGCTCGCCGGGTTCCAGCCGGTCTCGGCTCTGCGACCACCCATTTCTCCAGCCCCTCGGAGTTCGAGCCCAAGTCCCAGGCCCTCCCCCAGCTCCAGCCCCTCCCCCAGCGCGGGAGTGCAGCCCCGGCCCCCGCCCTGCGAACTTCGAGGTGCGAACGCGCCCTCCCAAGCCCTTCCCTGCAGCGCCCCCCGGCCCCCCGCGGCAGCGCTGGTCCGGAGAGGCGGCGGGTCGGCCTCTCGGCTTCGAGTTCCCGCCCCGGGGCCCTGGCGCCCCGCCGAGCCGGTCCTCCCGCGCGGAGCTCCCCGCGCCCGTGTCCGCGCCGCCCCGCGCCGGCCGGCAGGTAGGTGCGGGGCCCCGCGCGGGGGGCGGGCGGGCGGGGAGCGCGGAAGCCGCGCGTCGGGGGAGGCGGGAGCGCGAGGAGAGGGGCGCGGGGGGAGGGGATTCCTTTGTTTGCAGCCGGCAGCCCCTGGCCCAGCCCCCTCCCCTCGGGCGCGCGGCTCGGCGCGGGAGGGGGGCGTCGGGGGCGCAGTCGGAGGGCGGGGCGGGGCCCGGGGCGGGCGTGGGCGGCCGGGGGGCCGACACCGCGCGGGGCGCTCCCCCCCACCCGCAGGTGAGGGCGGGGCCCAGGGAGGTCGCGGCTCGCGCGCCCGCGCCGCCTGCCCCACCCCTTGGGGAAGGGGCGGACGCCGGCGCTGGCGCCCCCTCCTCGTCGGGCAGACCCAGGCCCCCAGCCTCCCGGCCCAGGTCCTCGCCCCGCGGCGGCGCCTGGCACGCTCCTTCATTGGACAGCCTGGGCGCAGCTCGCGGAGGCGTCAAGCCGGTCGGGTTGGGCGAAGACAGAGACCTATAGGGCCGGCCAGGGCGCGCAGGGACGCCACGCGGGCCCAAGGGTGCCTGGCGGAGACCTGCCAGCAAGAAGAGGGTGCCGGTCCCTAGCGGGGCCCACTGACCCTGGCCTCCCAGCCAGCGTTGAGCAGGACCTCTCTTTCCCGAGGGCTTTGGGAGTACCTGGTGCGGCTCTCATGTCGTCCCGAGACCAGAGAGGGTGGCCGAGGCCAGGGCCACACAGCACGCTCTGCCCATTCCCCGCCAACGGCCAGTTCTTCTCCTTAGTCCTGAAAGTGGAACTTGAAGGGGGTCCGCGCAAAGTCCACTTGAACTGCCTTTTGTACCCCGAGTTCTCAGCTTCTGTCCTAACATTTGCTTGGTTAGCTCCGCAGCGATGGCCCTCTTCTTACCCTGTCAGGTCCAGGGGAGAAGCAGCCACCTCCTGGGGCGGTGGGGGCACCCTGGTCCTCTTCCCCTCTCTCCCCTCTACCTGGACTTCCGTTCCTGCTCAGCCCTCACTAACTGTGTCATGGTCTTAGTTTTCTCACCTGCGAAATGGACACAGAAGCTGTTCTGCCCTGCTGGGTGAGGGGGGTGTTCCACATTGGGGAGCTCAGGCCTCTGCCGGATGCCCAGAATGCCCTGCCACCTGCCAGCTGGCCTCACCTTCCCATCCCTCCCTTTGCCAGTCCTCACAACCAGAATTCTGGGAATATCCTCGAAGTCTTCTACCTCTTTTCTTTCTTTTTTTGAAGATTTTATTTATTTATTTAATTTAAAAAAAGATTTATTAATTAATTTATTTATACAAGCACTGGGTACAGTCAGAAGCGCGGGAGGGTGAGAGAATTCACCAGAGCCAGAGCGGGGAGCAGAGCAGGCAGAAGGACCGAAGGACACTGCTGAGGGGAGCAGCGGGCGGCAGGAGAGGTCTGCGCGCCATGTGGGACCCTCACCCGGTGGCCGGGGATCGAACCAGCACTGCAGAGGCTGCGGGCAGCCTCACAACCCAGCTCTCAACTGCTGCACCACCAGGGAGGCCCAAGATTTTATTTATTTATACGAGAACCAGGGTACAGGCCAGATGCGCGGGAGGGTGAGAGGATTCACCAGAGACAGAGCGGGGAACAGAACAGGCAGACTGATGAACTACGCTGCTGAGGGGAGCAGCGGGCGAGACAGGAGAGGTCTGCCGCACCATGTGGGATTCTCGCCAGCCGGCCGGGATCAAACCCGCACTGAAAGGCTGCGGACAGCCTCACAGTGTGGCGCTCAACTGCCTGCGCCACCAGGGAGGCCCACTACCCCTTTTCTAATAGTCTTGGAATCCTATTAATTCCACCACCTTGTTACCCCCAGAATCCTTTCCTCTGTCCGTCTGCTTCCCTGTCTGGCCTCACCCGCACCCTTCCCGTGGGCCCAGGCAGCCCTCCCTCACCCCATCAAAGACCTGCCCCTGCCCTCGTTCCTCCCGCATCAGGTCCTGCAAAGGCTCTCCTTCTCCTTGACGTGCAAGCACAGTCTGTCACGTGGTTTTGTGCCATCGCAGCCGGCCCCTGCCCCACTGGGTGCTCCATGCCCCTACTCCCTGCTGGCTGAGCGTATTGCCCAGCGCCCGTCTCTTGGCCTCCTCCATCCGGAGACTTCACCGCTCCGTGAAGCTTTCCCTGACTCTTCACCTGACTTCCCCATCCTGGCAGTCGTGCCACTGCTCCTGGCCCCCCGGAGCCCGTGACCAGGGCTTCTGCTTCCTCTGCAGTGTCTCAGGGACACGTCACGGTCCTGGAGGGGCTGTGCTTCGCCAGGATGGGCACCCTCACCATGGCCTGGAGCCCCCCGGCTCAGCTTCTGCTGGTCTGGACGGCCCTGGCGTGCACAGCGGGTGTCCAGGGCCGCTGGGATGGGGCCTTGGAGCCTGCGGGTTCCAGACGTGTGCGCCGGTGGGGCAGCCCGGGCATCTTGCAGGGGTGAGTGGTACCGGGATGCCGAGATCCTGGGATGCGGGCTGGGCCGAGCTGGACGGTCTTGCTGGGGTGGGCAGAGCGGGGATGAGGCCCAAGGGTGTCCAGCCAGGCAGGGGCTCACCAGCTGTGACATGCTCTCCCCAAGGCCCAATGTGTGTGGCTCCCGCTTCCACGCCTACTGCTGCCCCGGCTGGAGGACGCTGCCTGGAGGGCACCAGTGTGTCGTGCGTGAGTGCTGCTGCCTTTTGGAGTTGGGGGCGCTCAGGCAGGGTACTCTGGGGCAGTTGGTGCTTCCTGCCTGCAAGTCCAGCCTTGTTAGCAGGCCGATAGGCCAGGGGTGTCTGGCTGGACCCCTGGAATGGCCCTCGTGGCCCTTGGGGTCCCGGCCACTCTGCACATGTATTTCCTTTGTCTTACAGCCTCCCCGTGTCTGTCCGCCTGTCGGTCCATCCATCTCTCTCTCTCAATTGCCCCCTCTCTCCCTCTCTCTCAAACCACCGTCTCGGTCAGTGCCGCAGCTTCCGTCCTTGCTGTTGAGTGACTCTGGTCCAGCGCGTGCCTCTCTTTCAAAGGCTGCAGCAGCAGTCAGGAGCCTCTTCCCGGGCTCAGCGGGGTGGGGCTGGCGCGGGGTCGGGACCCGGGCCCTGATGGTTGCCTGCTCCGTCCCTGCCAGCTGTCTGCAGGCGTGCCTGCCATGAGGGCTTCTGCTCCCGGCCCAACCTGTGTGCCTGTGCCAACGGGGAGCTGGCGCCCAGCTGCGCGCTGAGTCAAGGTGAGTGGGAGGTGGACCCAGAGGCGAGAGAAGGTGAGAGGTGTGAGGTGCCACCTGGAGGGAGCCCAGGTGGGCTTGGCTGAAGGGCCAGGGCCTGGGTGGGCGTGCTCCTGCCAGCTCCTCACACCTGCACGCCGGGGCCGTCTCCACCTCCCTGCACGACCTTCCTCCTGTCCCCAGGGCCCGGGTGCAGTGTGAGCTGCATGAACGGGGGCAGCTGCCGAGGGGAGTCCTGCCTATGCCAGAGGGGCTACACCGGCACTGTGTGTGGGCAGCGTAAGTAACCCACGCACATCCGGGCCTGGGGTCCCGGGTGGGGGATCTCTGTCGCCACATGCCTGCCGCCCACAGGTTGCTCTTCTGGGGCCGGGGATTAGGGGGCCGTGCTCATTGTCAGTTTTATCTTTGAGTCTGGACCAGATCATGGGGATTCCTGGGTGAAGATGGGCTGGTTGGGGCCACGGTCCCCTCAGCTGCTGGGGGACCTCTGTCCACCCCCCTCCCCTCTTCCTTCACAGCGGTGTGTGACCAAGGCTGCCACAACGGGGGCCGCTGCATTGGGCCAAACCTCTGTGCGTGTGTGTATGGCTTCATGGGGCCTCAGTGTGAGAGAGGTACCACGTTGGCGGTGGGGAAAGACTATGGGGAGAGGGAGGGAGCGAGGGAGGGAAGGAGGGAGGGCAGGAGAGCTTCCCAGCAGCCCTTGAGATGTGGCCAGGGTCCAGCTGGACTCTTTTCTGGTATAAGGGACAGAGGAATCATCTGCTCCAGGGAGGGAGCCAGGAGGGCTTCCTGGAGGAAGCGATAGGTGGATGTTCACGAGACAGACAAGTGCGCTCTTATCACGCCCCACTCCAGACCTGATCCTGCGGGCTGAGCTGTGTGGGGTCTCCCGGTGGGAAATTGTTACCAAAACTCAGACGGTGGAAACTAAACGATGTTTTGTGAGAAGTTGGTTGTGAGGCGGGAGGGGAGGGACAGAGTCAAGGGTGAGCCCCAGTTCTGATCTGGGAACTGGGGGTAGGTGGTGGGAGCAGGGAGGGAAGAGTATGAGCTCAGTGCTGGCTGAGCGGCTGGTGGGTCATCCAGCAGGCAGCTGTCACCCAGGCGACTGGTCCGGCCATGGGTGAGGTTCTTGAGGAGCAGGGAGGGCCACTTAGGGTGGCCAGGGAAAGATGGAGCCCAAGGAGGCTGAGAAGCAGAAAGCAAACAGGATCCGGTGGTGTTGGGGTTCCCTGGACACTCAAGTTTTTCTGCTGCGGGAGCTGTAGGAGGAGACGGTGTGGCCTGGAGCCCGGGGTAGGGATGATGGACAGGGCCCTGGGCTGACCCCGTGAGGGTGGTGCTGCTGGGGGCGGGCAGCTGCCAGGCGGTCCGGAGAGGGTGCAGGGATGAGCAAGAAGCTGGGGGTGGGGTGGGGGCTACTGGAGTTGATGGGTGGGCTTGGGGAGACTGAAGTTGACAAGGAAATGGATTGAAATTGGGGCTGACCGAGGGGGCACAGCTCGGGGTGGCTGAGGGGGAGTGAGGGTCAGTGGGGAGGGCGAGAGAGGAGAGGCTGGGGTAGGTGTGGACAGTGAAGGCCCGGAAAGAGGTGGGGCCGTGTGTCCAGGGAGGGGCAAGGGAGGCTCCGACTTCTTGGGTGAGTCGGGTGAGATCCTGAGAATGCCGTTTGGCTCGGGGCGGCAGGACCTCGGGTCTCTGCGCCCTCCTTCACGTGAGGCCTGGGAGGCTGGCTGCAGCATCTCCTCCTGGGCGGGCTTTCCTTGGTCCAGCGCCAGCCCCGTGATTGGAACCATCTGGAGGATGGAGCCAGGAAGTCACATCTGGGCCTCTGCACAGCAGTCGGGGAACTGACTGGGCCACTTTTGACTGAGTGCAGGGGTCACAGATGTAGTGTTGTGGGTCCCGAGGTTGTGGGCAGATGCCGCGCCCCTCCCAAAGTCCAGGAGGGTCAGCAGAGCCACACATGTGCTCAGTGATGAGACATTATCTCCAACTGGGCATCTGTGGGTTCCTGCCTAAACCTGAAGGGAGGCTGGACCTAGGGGGAAGGCGGGGGCGTCCAGACTTGACCTGGGCTTTGTGGCTGTGAAGGTTCTGGCCTCTCTCTTGGAGGTTGCTTGGGGAATGCTTTGGAGAGAAAGGGTTTTGAAGGGTGAATAGGAGTTCAGATGTGGGGTGGGGACAGCATGAGTAAAGGCTTGTGGTTAGGAAAGCCCGGTCTGTTGGTAAAGGGAGATTGGGAGGCAGTTACTGCAGTGGTCCAGGGGAGAGAGGTAGAGGCCTGAGCTGGGACTGCAGGGCTAGAAATGCAGAAAGTTCTGGGATGTGGGCAGCCCAAGACCAAGTGCCCGTATCCGTCCACCCACAGACTACCGGATAGGACCCTGCTTTGGCCAGGTGGGCACGGAGGGGTGCCAGCGCCAGCACACGGGCCTCCTCTGCACCAAGGCACTTTGCTGTGCCACTGTGGGCCGTGCCTGGGGCTTCCCCTGTGAGCTCTGCCCTGCACAGCCACACCCCTGCCGCCGTGGCTTCATCCCCAATATCCACACCGGGGCCTGCCAAGGTGAGCTGACTGTTGGGTGTGCAGGTGGGATCGGGGCCGGTGGGAGCCCTCGGAAGCTGTGGCTGCTCCCTGACAGGCCTCTCGCTTCTTTGCTGAGTGTTCTCCTGTAGATGTGGACGAGTGCCAGGCCGTGCCAGGGCTGTGCCAGGGCGGTAGCTGCGTCAACACCATGGGCTCCTTTGAGTGCCGCTGCCTGCCTGGACACCGCTTCAGTGAGAACAGCGCCAGCTGTGAAGGTGGGCGATGGGCAGGGTGCCCGGGGCGTCCTTGCTCTGGGCACCTCAGGTTGCCTGCGGGGGGCAGAGGAGCCGAGCTGGGGGTGTTCGCACTGACGGGGCGTCTCTGCACAGATGTGGACGAGTGTCTGTACATGCCAGGCCTCTGCTCCGGGGGCGGCTGCACCAACACGCCCGGGGGCTACGTGTGCACCTGTCCCCGCGGTTTTGCCAGAAGCCAGGATGGCACCCGCTGCCTGGGTGAGCTGAGCTGGGGGGCTGGAGGGGTAGAAGGTGGCCGGGAGAGACCCCCATCTCCTCAGTCACTCACCTCTGCCACCCCGGGGCCCTGATCCGACTCTAGCCTCCCAGTCCCTGTGCCCTCTAACATTTGGGCTCCCTGCACGTCAGCCTTTGTGCCCCAGACCTGGCCTGCAGGCCTCACTGACTCTCCAGCTCTGTGCCCTTTCGTTCTCTGATCCCCTAGCATCGCCTCTTGGCTCCCCTTGCCTCCCATGTCCTGCTGGCCCTCAAACTGCTGCACCCCACCCCTGTGCACTGGCTACCTTCCTTTTGCCTCTGTGCCCCTCTGACCCTCTAGCCTCCACCTCCAGGCCCCTCTGCCATCTGTCTCCTGGAACCCCCATCCCTCTGTCCGTCTTTGCACTCCCCAAACCTCTTTCAGGAGAGGCGAGGGGAACCTAGACCCCCTGACCGCATGTCTCCCCTCACACCCCATGTGGGAGATGGGGACACTGAGGCCCAGAGAGGAGCAGCCTAAGTCCACAAGTCCAGAGCAAAGAGACGTCCCTCCCCTGACCCCCAGACCTCCGGCCCCTCGGCCCCCCTCCCTCTCCTGCTGTCTTGGGGGTGCATCGATAGCTTCTAGAAGCTGCTGGTCCAAGGGCAGCCAGGATGTGGACCCTGGGGTGGGGCCTGGGCAGAGCCCTGCTTTGGTGCCTCCCGGCACCTCCCGGGCCCCTCTGGCTGGGCCTCTGCCAGGCCGGGCCGGGGATGCTGTTTGGGGCTCTGCCTGTGTGCTGTGGCCACTCTGGGGGCCAGCGTGCCTGCGCGCGGGGTGACTCTGGTCACATGCCCCGAACGGGAGGGCTTCTCCAGCTGCAAAACAGCAGAGCCCAGGTTTGAGCCAAGGCCAGGTCGCCTCTGCCTTAGAGTCGGCCCTGGGCCCCGGCTGCCAGCTGAGCGACTCAGAGACTGATCTCAGGCAAGGTGGGCACACACAGCAGCTACCCGCTCAGTGCCTCAGCTGCCGCGTCTGTCCAGTGGGGTCAGGTCACCCCTGCGCCACAGAGTCAGGAGACGAGTACAGCTATGGGGTGATTTCTCCAGGGCCCGAGCAGGGCGGGTGCTTTGGTTCAAGCCCCCCCCCCTCGTGTGTCTTCCCTACTTGGGGTCAGGGGGTCTAGGTTCCCTCTCCCTTCCCCTTTTAGCACCTGCGTGGCCTGGAGCAAGTCTGCTGGCCCAGCCCCCCTCGAGGTTCTGGGAGTGCAGAGCCCCACGTCCCACACACATCTGGGGGGCCCCCAGGTGCACGGGTGGGTGGAGCAGGTGGACACGTTTGCGTGATTTCTCCACCGGGGCAGGTAGGGGCGGCTGGTAGCCGCCCTCCTGGTGGGAGCAGTTTCTCCCCCGGGCACCAGCCGAGACTTGTGGGTTTTAATCTAAACACCCGCGCCGTGAGCCCGAGCCCGAGCCAGCCGCCCACACGCAAGGGCTCGGGACTTGCAGGCATGGGAAGCGGGAGCGCGTCCCTGGTTCTCAGGCCTGGGGCGCCTCTGTCTTCTGTTCGCTGGGGTGCTCCTCTGGCCCCTCCTCGAATCACTCTCCTCCAGGGCCTCCCCAGTGCCCAGACTGGCAGGTGGCACACACAGCTATAGAAACTGGCATTCCCCACTTGAACGTCCAGCCTGACCTCCCACCGGGGGGTCCCCTCCCTATGGGTCTTCCTTAGTGCGGCTGAGCACCGCAGCGACAGGGAGCTGATGCCCAGTGCCAGCCTTAGTTGCCCAGACGTGCCTGCTTGGTCTGAGACCAGATCCATCTCCATGGAATAACATGAACGTCTTGGTACCAAAACCAGCGGTCAGTGGAGCTCGGCCGTGCACGACCACCGGCGCGCTGTCCTCTCACCCAACAGCTCTCCTGAGGTCGGGCGGGTGCTCAGAGCATCCCCGTCCCATGAGTGGGGAAACTGAGGCACGGAGAGGCGTGGGACCTGTCCTGCGGTCAGTGCTGTGGGGCTGGGATTTGAGCTAAGTCTAGTCACTGACTCCTCACCCCCCTCTGCAGACCACCGGGCTGGCACCTGCTTCTCGGTGCTGATCGGGGGCCGCTGTGCCGGACACCTGGCTGGTGCCCACACCCACAGGCAGTGCTGCTGTCACACGGGCAGGTGCTGGGCAGCTGGCCCAGCTCCTGAGCTGTGTCCTCCTCGGGGTTCTGGTGAGTGGCCTGGGGTTTGCCGCTCCCTCCTCCGTCCTGTGGTTCTGACCGAGCTGCGGCCCCGGGCGTGACTAAGGGCCTGGCCTCAAATTCTCGTCCTCTAGATGAGTTCCGGCGACTGTGTGCCCAGGGGCTCCCGCTGCTGCCCTCCTATTCCGGCCCCTCCCCCAGCCTCCCTGACTTTGGGTCCGCCGGCATGGGCCCTGGCCTCGGGCAGGCTCGACACAGCCCTCACGATGCCAGTGCGCATGGGGCCCCCCGCCCGGGCCTCGGGGACGCCAGCATTGGTGAGGGCTGGGAGCCCGGGAAGGCCATGGGGCCCCTGTTTCAGAGGGAGGGTCAGGGCCCAGAAGTGGGGGGTCTAGGGCTCGGGTGGAGGATCTGGGCTGCTTTGGATCTGAGTTTGGGGGTGTGCCCCGGGTAGGATACTGGAGCTGGGTTGGGGGTTCTCTGGGCCTAGGTCTCAACCAAGGTGGGATTCTGAATCCAGGAAAGAAGTCTAGGCTGAAGTGGGAGAATCTGGGCAGAGAGGTTTGGGTCCCAGCCTCAGAATGGTGTCTGAACCCAGAAACAAAGCCTAGACGTGGGGCCAGCTCTGGGTCAGCCAGTTCAGGCGCCGCCCCCCCCAACTTCTCCCACAGGCACAGCCACCCTGAACCAAACCATCGACATCTGCCGACACTTCACTGGCCTGTGTCTCAATGGCCGCTGCCTGCCCACCCCTTCCAGCTACCGCTGCGAGTGTAACCCCGGCTACGCCCAGGACGCCCGGGGCCAGTGCATCGGTGAGTGGCAGCAGGGCCCAGGGAGCTGCCCTGCAGGCTGGGGCTCAGGTCCGCAGATTGGGACGAATGTGCCAGCCATCCCTGCTCCCACAGACACTGCGTCAACATGCCTGGCTCCTGCCACTGCCAGTGCCACGGGGGCGTCCAGGCGACGCTCTCTGCTGCTTCCTCTGCAGAGTGGGGGGCCAGTGACGCCTGCCTCTGTGCTCTGGGTTAGTGCCTGGGCCGGTGGTGCCTGATTTCGAGCCTCCCTTCTTCAGACGTGGACGAGTGCACCGGTAGCCGTGGTCTCTGCCGTCATGGCCGCTGCGTCAACACAGAGGGCGGCTTCCAGTGCGCCTGCAACGCGGGTTTTCAGCTCAGTCCTGATGGCAAGAACTGTGTGGGTGAGCTGGGGGTGGGTGACCGGGGAGGGGCCTTCGGGTCCAGTAGCTGCCCTTTAAGGTCACCTTGCCTCTGTTCCTGCTCCATCACCCACCTTCTACCCCGAGATGTATCCCCGCTCACCTCTCTGAGCCCAGCCAAGCTACTTGAGAGCCCTTTTGTGCTCTGTCTGCTCCCAACTCTCTCCTTCGCTCCCAACTCTCTCCTTCCGTCCCTCCTTTCTGAATCACTTAATGAATTCATTAGGGCTGTTTCACACTGGGCCTGCAGCCCCGCCCCTCTCCTGCCCCCCAGCGCACTCCAGTCTGGCAGATGTGGGATCAGCACCACGGAGAGCACCCACTCTGGCTCCCTGTGGGGCGCGGGTGTGCCACCCAGGCTTCCTGCAGCTAGTGGGGGCCTCCTCATCCTCTTCTCTTATCCTGCCTCAAGAGGCCTGCGGTAGAGCCTTCCTTCAGCAGAAGGGTTTTCGGATCCCTGCATTCATTAGTAAAATAAAACCTTTTTAGCATCTTTATTGATCTATAATTCACACACCAGGGAAGTAGCCATTTTGCAATTGAGTGGTTTAGTCTACTCGCGGAGTTGGAAAGCATCACCACAACCTAACTTCAGGTTATCTTTATCCTATCTTTATCACCCTGAAGGTCAGCACCTTCCCCATTGGCAGTCATCCGTGATCCCAGCCACCCGCCACCCCCCCCTCCCCCGGCTGCAGGCTGATCACTCATCTCTGGACTTCCTGTCCTGGCCATCTTTGAAGCGTGCCTCTCACTTAGCATGTTCTGAGGGCCCTCGTGTTGCAGCAGGTGCTAGAACTTAGTTCCTGTCATTGTCAGATAGCGTCCTGGTGTGTGCTGGTCTCGTTTGGCTCTTTCCTTTGCTGGTTGGTGGGTATTTGCTTTGTTTCCACTTTTTGGATAATGTTGCTGTGGATGTTCACGTTTCCAAGTTTTGGCATCTGGTCTATTTTTCTCTCCTCTTGGGCTCAGTTCTTCATTCAACAGTTATTTATTGCTCAGAACTGACACTTTGGTAATCAGCTAATTTCTATACTTACTACCTTCCTTGAAATCAGACTGTTTTCTTCTGAACTATTTTCTGCCTATATTTTATGAAGGTGAGATTCACGCAAGATGAATTTAATCATTTAAAAGTGAACAACTCAGAGGCATTTAGTCCATTCCCAGTGTTGTGCGATTGCCACCTCATTTATTCATGGTTTTTGCACTTTTTTATGATGGCAGAATATACATAAAGAAAATACACCCTTTTAACCATTTTTAAGTGGCTCATTAGGGGGAATTTAATACAGTGTTGTACAACCACAATCTCACTTATTAACTGAACAGGTATTTATGGAGCCCCTACTGTGTGCCAGAACTGGGGTGCACACGTGAGCAGACAGCCCCAGGGGGTTCTGGGGAGCTCGTGCTCCAGCACAGACACGGCACGAACTAGTCACAGAGCTGGGCTGGGGTTTTCACACACCCACACCCCTGACAGGGGCCCTGGGGGCTCAGCTTCCGCTCTGCCCTGGGGAAGTTGTTGGGGGGGTTGGCCAGGAGAGGCGGGCTCTGGCCTCACTTGCTGGCACCCAGCCTCTGTGGGTGTCCCCAGACCACGACAAATGTGCGGGCTTCGCTGTGTGTGCCAACGGAGTGTGTGTCAACGAGGATGGCGGTTTCGCGTGTCTCTGTAAACCTGGCTTTCTGCTGGCTCCTGACGGCCGCCACTGCCTGGGTGAGGCTGGAGGCTGGGGTGAGGGGGAGGAGGAGAGGAGGAGGTGGGAAGGTTGGGGGGCCGGGGAGCCGGGGGAGGAGGGATATGAGCCTGCGAGGCCCCAACACAGTGCCCCCATGACCTCCAGACATGGACGAGTGCCAGACGCCCGGAGTCTGCGGGAACGGCCCCTGCACCAACACCGAGGGCTCCTACCACTGCCGCTGCCTTGGGGGGCTGGTGCCGGGGCCCGATGGGGTCTGTGTGGAGAACTCCCTGCGTAGCACATGCTTCGGAGGCTTCACACGGGGGACCTGTGTGCGCCCCTTCCCCGGCGCTGTCACCAAGTCTGAGTGCTGCTGTGCTAACCCGGACCACGGGTTTGGGGAGCCCTGCCAGCTGTGTCCAGCCAAGAACTCTGGTGAGCGTCCAGCTGCCTGGCCCCACCCCGTCCCCACGACCCCAGCTCCTTTGTCCCTGCCAGTTCCCCACCCTGGGGTGGGAGGTGATGGGTCGTGGGGTGGGGCCTTGCTCTCCCAGGTGTGCCTGCCTGGAGGCCGAGCTCCACCAGCCCCTGCTGGCCTCCGGCGTGCCCATGTGCCCTGGACACGGGCATTTGTGGGTACCTGGTTGCAGACGCCGCCAGCTGTGACCACCAGGCAGCTGTAGCTGAGAGACAGCTTTTCATGGGGTCCAGGCCGTGGCGGCCCCTCCCCGCCTGCGGCCAGCAGCCTCCCCTGGCCCCTGGACTGGGCTCGGCTCAGAGGCTGCTTGCTCCCGACACGCTTCAGTGTCCCCAGCCCAGCACCTGTGTGGGCCTGAGGCTGGACAGCCCTGACTCTGCGTCCTCCAGGGTCCTGCTCCTCTTTGGAGAATGATTTTGGGGTTCTGGTTGTGAGCTGAGAGAGGGTGTTCTCTCTGGGGCCTCCCCAAAGGCAGACTACTCGTGCTGCAGTTGGAGTGGGGGCCGCTGCCAGGAGGGTTGGGTCCCCATGCACTGTGGGGCCACCCTGGTTCTCTGTCCTCACCCAGAGACCACCTGTGCCCCAGCTTTGGGGCGAGGGTGTTGTTAGGGTGCACTCATGCAGTAGGCTTGGAACTCAGAGAGAAAGAGGGACGGAGGGAGGGAGGGGGAGAAGAAAAAGAAGTGGTTGCGGGGCATCTTAGTCCTAGACTCTGGCTCAGCACTAAGGGCCCAGGCCCCGGTGTGGTCTGGGGTCAGCAATGGCCAGTAACTCCTGCCGCCTTGTCCCCCCCAGCTGAGTTCCAGGCTCTGTGCCGCCACGGTCTGGGCATCACTGCAGACGGCAGAGGTGAGTGGGGGCAGGCGTCGGGAGGGGGAGAGCTTGTGCCAGGCGGGGTGGCGATATGCTGGGGCTGCCACAGCAAAGTACCACAGCCTGGGCAGCTCCAGTAACAAACGTACCTCTGGGATCCTGCGGGTGCAGTCTGGGCACGGCATGGGCACAGCGGTTGCAGGGGAACCTGCCTCAGGCGTCTGCAGCTCCCCGTGGTTGCTCGAGACCCCTGGTGTTCCCGGGTTGTGGAAGCAGCGCCCTCGTCTGCCTCCGTCTTCACATGGCGTGCCGGTGTGGGTGTCTGTGTACCAGTCTCCCCCTTTTGTGAGGACACCATCGTATTGGAATGGATTGGGGACCCACCCTAAAGGCTTCATTTTAATCTCACCCCTCTGCAAAGACCTTATCTCCAAATAAGGTCACGTGCTGAGACCCTGGGGTCAGGACTTCAATGTGTGAATTTTGAGAGAACGTAGTTCAGCCTGGAACAGATAGACACAGTGGGTGTGTAAGACTGCCCTTCCCCCACGCCTCCTTTCCTCCCCCAGCCTGCCTCCAGATGAGCCCCACTTCTGGTTCTGTTCACTCTGCAGCCTTGACCCTTCTGGTTCCCCCAGGAACAGGCAGCCCCACCAGAGGATCCCTGGCTGAGCTGCAGCCAGCAGTTCCCCCCAAAGTGCCTTATCTGCATAGTTGAATCAGATGGCAGGTGTCTCTTTTTTTTGCTGATTACGCATGCGCGTGCTCTCTCTCTCACACATGCACACACACACGCACATACACACACACATGCGCGCACGCACGCACGCACACACACACATTCACACAGAGTCCCTTCCTGAAACAGCCTTTTGCCCAAGTGGAAATAAAAGGACAAGTCAGTGGAAGACAATAACTTGCCCTTGCAAGTCACTGACTCTCTTTGGGCCTCAGTTTCTGAGTCTATAAAGTGGGGATGATAATGAGGTTTCAGGGGCTGTTGTGAAGCTCCGGTGAGTGAATGTTCTCGGCGTGGGCTGGCAGGCACCCTATGGCATCAGTGATTTTGGTTTATTACCTTATTATGTCGCTGCTGTTCCACGGGTTCCAAACTGGGTTCTGCCCTGCAGGGGACATTTAACAAAGTCTGGAGATACTGGGGTGGGAGTGCCTGAAACCGCACAGGTAGAGGCGGGGACAGGGCTCAGCATCCTATAAGGCACAGGGCGGCCCCGTGGCAGAATTTGGCTCCATCGCCAATGCCCACTGGGCCAAGCCGAGGACCCCAGGGTTGGGGAGAGGAGGCAGGGGGCCTGGAGCTCTGCCCCCAGGGGACCTGGTTTGCCGAGAGCCCAGGCAGCAGCTGACACCCTCTCCCTGCCTCAGACATCAACGAATGTGCCCTGGACCCCAACATCTGTGCCCATGGAGCATGCGAGGACCTGTGGGGTGGCTACCGCTGCAGCTGCGGCCTGGGCTACGAGGCGGGCGCTGCCGGCAGGGAGTGTACAGGTGAGCGGGCCCGCGGGGTGCGGCCCCGCTGCTGCAGACGCCCCTGTGAGGCGGTGGCCGGTGCCAGAGCAGCCCTGGCAGCCACAGCTGCTCCTGCCCTGGGGCTCCCGCTGCCGGGTGGACATGGAAACCTGTGACGGTGCAGCCCGGCATGCTTGAGCGGGTGCACACGCACACACTCGGGCGCTTACTCATGTGCATGCTGTGAGACGCAGGCGTGCTGCATCGGGGGTGCACACACGTGCACCACCATGTGTGGTGTATGCACAGACAGGGTCAAAGATCTGCATTCACACACACCCCAAGACACACACTTGCACAGTCACACTCGGACTCCCACAGTTATCCAGGGGTGCACACTCAAAAGCGCCTACATTCACACGCTTCTTTCTTCTCATTTACACATTTGTGCTCACCCTTGAAGTTTATACATTCAGACACTTGTACATTCTCACATGTGTGCATACAGTCAGATGGTCTTGCACACTGGTACTCACTCGGACACACATACACACCACACTTACACTCGCAGACTCTCGTATGTGGTCACACTCAGGTGCACACACTCAAAGGTGTGCGTATTCACACTCACATTTTCCCACACACAGGCTCACACATCTGCATTCACATGCTCTTACACACCCAATAGAATATGTCTGGTGTACACACACACAGCGTGTGGAAGTACCTATGCCCTCCAGTGTCTCTCACACTGGCAATGCTCTTGCCTGTTCCCCATTCTCCCAACGCTCATAGACATGTGCAGCCTCTCACACACACACACACACACACACACACACACATGCATTGAGTCTGACCCCTGTCTCCTTGCCCCACCCCACCCCCGAGGTCACCAGAGCCCCCTTATTTGCTGTCCTGTTCACCCGCACAGCCTGCGCCTGCTCCCTGGCCGACCCCCACATTTTCACACTCGTCCTCTTTGGGCGCCCCTCCCACCTCCCCCTCTGTCCTCATGGGGGGACCCCTGAGGGCCGGGTCCCTCCCCGTCTGTCCTCTGCACAGCAGCTTGCGGGATGCACAGTTCAGTGAAGACACGCGCATTCTGTGTGCCCTGCCCGCGTGTGCACACCCGCCATGCGCATGTGTGGCTAGGCATGCACCTGGGCACACCCCCAGCTGCAGGGAGGGGGGAACCGGTGGCGTTCTCACCCCACAGCTTCAGGCCGGCTCTGTCTTGGCAGACGTCGACGAGTGCCTGTCCCGCCCGTGTGTGAACGGAGTGTGCCGGAACCTGGCCGGCTCCTTCTCCTGCGAATGTGCCCCCGGGAGCTGGCTGGAATCCTCGGGCACCATGTGCCTAGGTGAGAGGCCCCAGGTGCACTGAGTTCCAGCTGCCCCGCCGCCCCCCGTCTCCCGTCCCAGGAGGGCTGGGCCTCTGGGTGGGCTGGCAGTGTGGGCCGCGGTGACACCGGCGTGCCTCCCCCCAGACAGCGCTCGGGGCACCTGCTGGCTGCAGGTCCGGGACGGCCGCTGCGAGGCCAACCTTCCGGGGACCTCCCTGCGGTCCGAGTGCTGCGCCACGCTGGGGGCTGCCTGGGGGAGCCCCTGCGAGCTCTGCGAGATAGGTAACGCCCTGGGGGCCCCTGGTGGGCTCTGGGGGACCTCCCAGGGGTGGCCGCTGTACCTGCTGGTGTCCTTTGAGAGACTGTGTGGGACAGGAACCCCAGTCTGGATGGAGGGTGACCCCCTTCTCACTCCACTTTCCCCAGCCACAGACCCTGCCTGCGCCCGGGGCTTTGCCCGAACGAAGGGGCTCACGTGTGAAGGTAACTTCCTGCCTCCCCGGCTTTCCACCTGAACCCTCCCTGATGTCTTTTGAGCTCTGGAGAGAGAGTCCCCCTCCATGGCTGGGGTTTGAAATTCCCCAGCTGGCTCTGTGCCCTCCCAGCTCCTCAAGGAGTATCCGGAGCCCCCAGGCGGCTCGGGAGCCTCCAGCCCTTGCCTCTCCTCTGTCGGCAGACGTGGATGAGTGTGCGGTCTTCCCCGGGGTCTGCTCCAACGGGCGCTGCCTCAACACCCCCGGCTCCTTCTGCTGCGAGTGTCCCCAGGGCTCGGTGCTGGACGCCACCGGCCGGCTCTGTGTGGGTGAGTCGTGGTCCCGGCGAGGGCTGCCGGCCCTCCGTCACTGCCCCACCCAGAGCCTGGACACCCCTTCTGGGAACAGGAGGGTCCAGGGGTTCTCAGGCCTCCGGCCCCGCCCACATCCTGCTGACACATTTCCAAAGCTGCTTGTCTTTGGAGTTGCCTCTTCACTTAACTGAGGCTCACTGCAAACGGTAAGATCTTGAGAAATATCATCTGCAACTTTGGTTTATTTTTTCTCATTGCCAAACAAGGTTGGTGCGGCCTGGGGTGAGCACAGGCCTCTCTGGCCTGCGGGCCTCCTCCAGCCTCAGGTTCGCTGGCAGCTCTGACTTTGCCCCCGGACGAGGGTTCACAGACTGCCCTGTAGCACCTCGTTTGGGGCGTGTCTGGCCGGGAGTGTCTGCAGGCAGCAGGGAGGACTCTGCGTTCAATCAGGTCCCCCCATCCCCCTGTCCCATGAACCCCTCGGCAGTCTCCTGGTAGCGCCTCGGACCCTAGGGGGTCCCGATGACCTTCTCAACTGTGATCCCTGCTAGGCTGAGTTTCAGGTGTTTTGAGGGTCTCCTCACTCACCCCAGATTGTCAGCACGGGAGGAAGTTACTGACTCAGGAGGACAGGGCCACTGCGTGGCAGGGCACCCGAGCTTCACTCGGGCCATTCATTGGCGCAGGGGCGAGAGGAGACGGCGTGGGCTTTCAGGCCTCGTGGTCTCTGCTGCGGCTGCTGACTGAGCCCTGCCGCGGGGAACTGCGGGGACAGAGGGGGCTGTGGCCAAAATAACACTTAGTTTACAGACCCAGGCGGCCAGCCCATCGTGCCCCCGGTGTCTGGCTCTAAGGAGAGTCTATTCTGAGGGGTTTCCATTAAGCGTGTGAACACGGGAGCCGGATGGCCTGGTTTGAACCCTGCTCGACCTTTTACTGGCCAAGAGGCCTCTGACATGCTGCCTGACCTTTCTGGGCCTCAGTTTTCCTGTCTGCAAAATGGGCATGATAGTTTTTTCATCTTGTGGTATTTTGAGGATCAGATGATTGGATGAACTTAGAACAGCGTCTCGCCCAGCAGACGTCCTAATGACGCGAGCTGTTATCCAACTGTTGGATGACACTGAAACTCAGTGTGAAGACTCGCCCCCGCTTCCTGGGCATGGGGGATGTTTTGGGGGTGCCGTCGGGTGACCCCATATCGCAGCGGGCATGCGGGTGGAGCCTGCTGACTGTCCCTGTGCAGACATGCGCCAGGAGCCGTGCTTCCTGAGCTGGGCCGAGGGCCAGTGCGGGGCTGTCCTCCCCGGCCAGTACGGCAGGGACATCTGCTGCTGCTCCGTGGGGGCCGCGTGGGGAGCTGCGTGCGAGCCTTGCCCAGAGCCCGAGTCCCCGGCATTCAGCGGCCTGTGCCCCTGGGGGCTGGGCTTTGTCAGCCGAGACCCCCTGTCCGGCCAGCCCTTCTATAAAGGTGTGTGGGGACGGGCGGGAGGGACACGGCGCCCAGCTAGAGGCTCTGGAATGGGGGCCTTGGCGGCGGTGACAGGCTGCTCCGCCCGCAGACCTGAACGAGTGTGCGCTGTTCCCCGGCCTGTGCGCTCACGGCGCCTGCCACAACACTGCGGGCAGCTTCCGCTGCACCTGTGCAGGCGGCTTCGCCCTGGACACCCGGGAGAGGAGCTGCACAGGTACTGCCCACGCACGCCCGGCTGCTGCAGCCCCAGGACCTCTAGGGGATGTAGCCGAGGCCCGTCCTCTTGGCACCCCTTATGTCTCTGCTGCATAACTGAGGACACATCTTCATCTCTGGACCTCAGGGGCCTGTGACTAGAAAAAGGGGATGGCTGAGGTGACCCCCAGGGGCTCCAGGCAGGGAGGAACCCCCATCCCTGCCCAGCAGGCAGCATTGCCGCTCAGTTCAGTAGCTCAGGGCTCTGAGGGGCCCAGGTGACTGTGGGTTGGGGGGTGGCCTGTGCCCCCTCTCTCCACAGACATCGACGAGTGCCGTATATCCCCTGACCTCTGTGGCCGGGGTGCCTGTGTCAACACGCCAGGCAGCTTCGAGTGCGAGTGTCTCCCTGGTTACCAGAGAGGCTCCATGCTGATAAAGGCCTGTGTGGGTAGGTGGGGGGCACTGGTGGGCCAAGAAGGGGAGGGGTGGCAGGGCCATTGCTGTGGTGGACGTGGGGGAGGGCACCGTGGGGAGCAGCCTGATCCAGCCAAACCCGGTGAAGCACCCCCAGAGGGGAGCCACGGGAGTTGGGGAGCAGAGCTTATGATCTAGTGGAGGGACAGATATTAATTAATAAAGCCCCAGAGAAATGCAGAATAGCTGCTGGCAAAGAGCGCGAAAGGGCCGGACAGTGGGGTAGGAACGTGGAGCTGGGTTTGTCCCTTCCTGCGGGGCTAGAGGTGGTGCTGGAGAGAGTGGAGTGAGTGGGTAGAGGAAGGCGCAAGAGCCGTGTGGAGCAAAACCAGTGTGTGCAGAGGCCCGAGTGGCCTGAGGCTGGGAGGCTTCCCTGTGCAGGGGAGAGAATGGCACATGCACAGGCCCAGGGCAGGCCCGGCAATGAGGGAGCTGGGGGTGGATAGCATGTGCAAAGGGCCTGGGGTGGATCGAAGTATTGGAAGAAACATGCGAGATGGGGGTTTGAGGAGATGGTGAGATGGGCGAGGAGACTGCCTGCTTCCCTGCGGTGTCCTGGGGGGACCTCTGTGGGCTTCCTTCAGTGGCCCCAGGATGCTGGACTCACAGCCCTGATTCTCTCAAGACTCCGTCCCTGCTCCTTCCAGCTCAGACTCTGCTCCTTGGGCCATCCAAGCCCCAGGCCCCCGCTCGCTTGGCTCCAGCAGGGGTGATGGGTGGGGCTGCAAGGGAGAAGCCTCCCGGTCGGCGCCTTCACATGGCCTCTTTGCACACACCCAGATGTGGACGAGTGTGCCCAGGACCCGTCGCTGTGCCGTGGAGGCGCCTGCACCAACACGGAGGGGAGCTTCGAGTGTCGGTGCCCCGCTGGACACATGCTGACCTCCCGGGGCACTGCCTGCGAGGGTGAGCATGCAGGGGCATGCCCGGGCAAGTGTGAGCAGTGTGAGTCAGGCAGTGAGTGTGCATATCTGTGTGCCTCTGAGTGTGTACTCGTGCACATTCAACCTCCTGTGTGCCTTCCAGTGCTCCTGCGTTCATGCATGAGGGGGTGGGAGAGTATTTGCATGTGAATATGTCAGTGGTACAGCTCCTGTGTGAGGTCAGTGTGTGTGTGACATGTGACTGCACGGGTGTGAGATGGAGTCATGTCTGAGCATGCAGGGGTGTGTGTAAAAGAATTTATGTGGGTGTTCATGAGTCTCTGAGCGTGTAGGTGTGTGTCTACACGGGTGACCATTCTGGTGTGTGTGTTTGCATGAGTGTGCAAGGGTGTTTACCCAGGGATCAGATGTGTGCAGGCAAGTGAATGGAAGGGTGTGCTTGTTTGTGTGTCTGAGAGTGTACAGAGGTAATGAGTGTATACTTATGTGGAGATATATCTGCTGAGTGTGTTCATGTGTGAATGTAGGTGGTTGGTGAGTATACATGATGTGGGAGAGCATGAGTTGTGTATTTACACAAAGGCCATTTGTCTGTGTGAGTGGGCTTGTGGGTGTGTGTTTCTGGGTGTGGGTGGGTGTATCACCACGGTGGGTGTGTTTGTGAGTGGGGCTGCAGATGCTGGTAGCTGAGTGTGTCAGCGTGCCGTGCATGTGTCTGAGTGTGTCGGGGTCTCTTGAATGGCAAGTGGGGTGCAAGCTCGCTCTCCACTCGGCCCCCCACCAGCTGTGTGTTCCCCACAGACGTGGATGAGTGTGCCCTGAGCCAGGGCCTATGTCCCCACGGCCGGTGTACCAACCTCCTGGGTGCCTTCCAGTGCTCCTGCCTCGCCGGCTTCCAGAGCACCCCGGACAGCCAGGGCTGCGTGGGTGAGACTGGGCCTCCTGCTGTCCACGGGCGCCACCCTTCAGCCCCCACAACAGCACCCCAGGCCCCCTCCTGCCCACGTCCACCTGTGCTTGACCTGCCCCTCCCCCCCCGCCTGCCTTGGCAGACATTGACGAATGCCATGTGGGTAACGGCGGCTGTGCTGGGCATTGCGCCAACACCGAGGGCAGCTACCGCTGCAGCTGCAGAGAGGGCTACACCCTGATGGCGGATGGCAGGACCTGCACAGGTGGGGTGCCCAGCCTGCTGCCCCCGGGGGAGGGAGGAGGTGTTTGCTGGACCCAGCCTGACCTGGCCCAGCCAAGCCAGACGGACTTGGCAGGGTCCAGCCTGTGGCAGGGTCTTCTGGGGCTTTCCCTCTGTCTCCACACCCGGCCCCTTTGCTCCCCCAGACGTAGATGAGTGTGAGGAGAGCCGGGACATCTGTGATGGGGGGCAGTGCACCAACCTGCTGGGTGGTCACCGCTGCCTGTGCTTTGACGGTTTCGTGGCCTCCGTGGACATGAGGGCGTGTGTTGGTGAGGAGCTGGGGGGAGGCCTCGCCGTGGCTTGGCTCGTGGCTCCTGGTGCCCCAGACCCAGGCTCCCAACCTGCGGGCTCGTTCACGGAGGGACAGTCCCCCGGCCGCTCTTGTGTGCCCAGTGCTTATCAGCCCCGGGCCTGTTCGGGGGTCCACACTACACCCCGCCGCCTAAGGCGTCCTGTGCAGAGGAGGGTGAGCCGGAGAGGGGAGGACACTCAGAACTGTGTTGTCTGAGCCTGCTTGGGGGCCCGGGCCTTGAGAGCCGTGGTCTCACCTCTCCTGGCTGCAGGGGGTCCTGAGCCCCTGGGCAGATGTGTGTTGTGCGCCCCAGCAAGGCAGGCAGGGGCCAGAGCCTGGAAGCGAATGTGTAACCCCGTCCCGGGAATGTGTGTCCTGCCCAGTGCAGCGTACAGCTCAGACCTCAGGAGGCTTAGGAAGCACTTAAGGGCGTTGGGGGAATCAAAGAAATCTAGGGGATACAGCCTGCTCCACGCTCCTCACGGGCATAAGGCCCCTGGAAGTCCCGCAGGAGAGGGATCTGGTTGCCGGGAACGCGTTTATCGGCCTGGAGGCAGCGGCTGCCTGCGGCGTCTGGTGTGAGCCAGCACAGGGTTAGGGCGCAGCGGCCTGCGGTGCCACCGGAGGGACCCCCACCCCCAGGGAGAAACAGAGACCCTGAGTGTGGATCTGAGTGGCATGGCAGTCAGCCTCCCTCGCTGTTCTTGTCACCCCACAGACGTGAATGAGTGTGACCTGAACCCCCACATCTGCCGCCATGGAGCCTGTGAGAACACGAAGGGTTCCTTTGTCTGCCATTGCCAGCGGGGCTACGCGGTCAGCATGGCGGCCACGGGCTGCGCGGGTGAGAGGGCCGACGGTCGGCTGCAGCGGCTCAGGCATGGGGGAGGGGGTGTCCCAGACGCTGGGAAGACCACCCCAGACTCCCACTGGGGACCCTGCATCAAGTGCTCTGGGCTTCACTTAAATGGCAGAGCAGGGAGCCCTGGAGCCCCAAGTGTCCCCAGCATTGTCTCCAAATCATGCAGGCCCGGCCATGCCAGGACCAGTGTGTCCACATCCCAGCATTTGGCTTAGCTCCCCAGGCCTGCTCACTATTGACCCCAACTCTGGTGGCTTAGAACCGCAGAGGTTGACCCTTGAGGATATCAGAAGTCTGATACCCAGGCAGGGGTTCCTTCTGGGGCTCGGCCAGCGAGTGAGCCCACGTTTGTCTCTGGTGGTGGCCCCGTCTGTTCTTGACTTTCCTTGGCTTACAGACGTGTCACTTCTGTGCCCATTGTCACCTACAGGTCTTTGTGTCTGTGTCGAATCTCCCGTCATTGAATTAGGGTTCCTCTAAGCCAGGATGACCTCGTCTTAACTTGGTCACCTCTGCAAAGTCCCTGCTTCCTAATGAGGTCCATTCCTAGATTTTGGAAGTTAGGACTTGAACATACCTTTGGGGGGAGGGCACAATTCTACGCAGTATGACTCTTAGTTGTAATTAATTAATGAAAATGTGCTAGAATCAAACATTATGTAACAGAGCATCAAACCCATGACTTCTTCGAGACTGTTGGTGTTATCAAATTTTCTTTTAAAAAACTTCCATGAAAGTCAAAATAGGAGGACTGTAGAGAAATACTCACTAAATAGCAGTTCACTTAGGTGCTGTGTGGGTGGCAGGGGTTGGAAGGGGGGTGCAGAATTGGCTGAGGATTGGAAATGCCTCTTTAGAAGGAAATCCTGCCGGAGACAGTCACTCTTAACATCTACCCTAAGTCTCTCGTGCTGCATTTGAGATTTTTTTTTTTTTTCCCCTGAGGACTGCTGGCCATCTCACCTTGGATTTGGGGGTTTCTTCTTGGGCTCTGGGTGAGGTGGAAGTGCTTTCTGGGCCACTGGCCCCTTCCCGGGGAGGGTCTCCACACTGTCCCCTGCTACTGCTCTGAGTTTGCCCACCCTGCACCTGCAGCCTTGTTTCTAGCAGTGCAGCCTTCAGGGGGTGCTGTCTTCCACCTCCTGCCCCTCCTGTGACTGGTCCTTCTCCTCCTAGATGTGGATGAGTGTGAGCTTGGTGGGCATGGCTGTGATGGGCACGCCTCCTGCCTCAATACCCCCGGGAGTTTCAGCTGCAGGTGCCAGCTAGGCTGGGAGGGGAATGGCTTCAAATGCCATGGTGAGTCCTGGAGGTAGGAGGTGTGGGGGCTGGTGGAGTTGGCTGGGCCCAGGGGTGTCTCCAGGATCGTTTCGAGCTGAGATTGGAGGGTCTGCCTCCCTGCAGCCCCCAGCATGCACTCCTGGGGTGTGTGGGGCTCTGTCTCCCGCAGACCTGGATGAATGTGCCTTCCAGAAGCACCCGTGCAGTGCAAGAGCCGACTGCCTCAATGTCCCCGGCTCCTACCGCTGCACTTGCCGCCCGGGCTTCCTCGGAGACGGATTCTCCTGCGAAGGTGATGCTGGGAGGGGTAGGAGGGCAGCAAGGGTCCTGGGGACAGCCAGTGGGCTGGATCCTGAGGCGGCTGTGGCCATCAGCTGGCTTCCGACTTGTGCTGACCCCCCTCTGCTTTTAGGGTGCTGAAGGGCGTGCCCTGGTGGCGCGTGGGTCAGGCCGAGTCTGGGGCCACCTTCCACCCTGGACTCTGGGGCCCTCTGGGAGGAGGAGCGCTTGTTTGCTTCCTGGAGACCCTTGAAACCTGAGTGCCAGGTCCCCTGTCCCCTCACTGGCTCTACTTGGTCCTGACTCCCCCAGTCAGGGTCTGAGCTCCCAGTGCTACTTGTGAGCCCCCTCGGCCCCGGGGACAGCGAAGGGTCTGAGGGCCGAGGGTGGCCAGCCGGCCCAGCCTCTGCCTCTCGGGGTCGCGCAGACAGGGACGAATGTGCCGAGGACATGGACCTCTGCGAGCATGGCCAGTGCCTCAACGTCCCCGGCGGGTTCCGCTGTGAGTGCGAGATGGGCTTCGACCGCACAGAGGACCTCCGGGCCTGCCGGGGTGAGTGGGGGGCTCGGGTGGCGCCCAGAACGAGGGCCTGGGGCCCCGGCTTGGCGTTCGGCAGGTCGCTGACCCGGGGTCCTCGCAGACGTGGACGAGTGTGTCCTCGGGGACGTCTGCCTGTTCGGGAGCTGCGAGAACCTGCCGGGGGCCTTCCGCTGCGCCTGCCGTCAGGGCTACGAGCTGGACCGCGGTGGCGCCAACTGCACGGGTGAGGGGCCGGCGGGGGTCGGGGGCAGGGGGCACGGCCCACCCCTCCGTGCTTCTCTCAGCCGTGTGCTCCGGTGGGGGCTGGTGCCCCATCATTTCAAACGTGCCCCCGCTGATCCCTGTTCCCTTTGGCCTCCGTCACGAGTGTCATCTCCTGAGTGCGTGCAGGGGCGGGGAGGCCTGTCCTGCCGCCCGGGCGCCCCGCCTGTGTGACGCCTGCGTGCCCCGCCGGGTGTGAGACTTTCTCGGGGACTGAAGTGAATGGTTGTAAATGTTTCTGGCCCGTGGCCGGGTGGCTCTGTCAGGTGGGCACAGCTGTGCGTGGCCCCATGGTGGACATGGATGTGGACAGACAGGGTAGCTGGGGCAGCCGTGCCGAGTGCAGACGGGCAGGGGCCAGAGCCGGCCCGGGGCTTGCCAGGCCCTGGCTGACAGCACGTTCGAAATGTAGGTTTTGGTGTTGGTGCTGGATGTGTGTCGGCTGCGGGGATGCTGCAACAGGGAGACGAGGGGCAAACCTCCGTGCCATGAGAACAGAGCAGGGGAGGGGCCCGGTGGGGCAGGCCCGGAGGCCCCTGTCCCCTCTGGCTGGCTGTCGAGAGGAGGGCGCGGCCTCACCCTGCAGCCTGGCCCTAGCGTTGAGGGCTGCAGCTTCCCAGCAGCAGGCGGGAGGGAGGGGGTCAGGAGGACCCCCGCTGAGGGAGCCTCCACCTGCAGACGTCGATGAGTGCATGGACCCCGTGAGCTGCATCAACGGCCTGTGCGTCAACACTCCTGGCAGCTACCTCTGCAACTGCCCCCAGGATTTTGAGCTGAACCCCAGCGGGGTGGGCTGTGTGGGTGAGTACGCACTCGGCTCCAACTGGGGCTGGGAGGGCGGGGGTCAGGGATGGTGGGTGGGGCTGGGCCTGCATTGCCCTGGCTTGTCCACCTGTTTAAATCCACCTGCTCCTGACAAACGCAACCTTTACTGGCCCCTGTCAGAGTGGTGGCCCCTGTCACCTGTTAGGCGCGCGCGCACACACACAGACATACACAAAGTCACATATGCACAGAATAACAGCTGTGCACAGGCACACACACACCCACAGTTGCGTGCCTAGCTGCACACACTGTTACACATACAGGTGCAAACTCACACACACCAGTTCTCCTCTGTCCCTTGCTGACTGACCCTTTCTGCCGGTTCAGACACCCGGGTCGGCAACTGTTTCTTGGACACACATGGCCGAGGGGATGGTGGTGTTTCCTGCGGTGCTGAGATTGGGTTTGGCATCACCCGAGCCTCCTGCTGTTGCTCCCTGGGCCGGGCCTGGGGCAACCCCTGTGAGCTGTGCCCGATGGCCAACACCAGTGAGTGCTGGGGCAGGGGCGAGCACTGTGGTCCAGGCCTCTGTTGTCTAAGCCTCTCTCCAAGGCCCCTTCCTGCACACTCTTCTCGTGTGTTGTGTTTACTCATCCACTCAGTCATTCAACACACAGAGTTCCTCTGAGTCCTGTGCTAGGGGCTGGGGGCCCAGAACAGGAGGACCCCTGCACCTTGCCCCTCGCCTGTAGACCAGGGGTCCCCAGACCGTGAGCGCAGAGCTCCGGAAGGGTTCGTCTCAGGAACAGTGATGACTCAGGAGAAAGTTGTGGAGGGGACAGAGTAAGGTAAAGGCTTCCCAGGGCAGGAGGCTTCAATGAGGCTTTGAAGGATGAATAGAAGTTTTCCAGGCAAAGTAAGGAGAAGGGTGTGCAACACTGTGGGAACAGCATGTCTCAGGTGTGAAACGTGAAGGCATTTGCTCACTTATTCAGGTGTGTGGTGTTTCAATGGGGATTAGATTATGGTCACACTAGCATCTGGTTTGGGGTCAGAAGAAACCCCCTCCCCCAGCTACTGCCATATGATTCATTTGCTCAGGTGTTGAGTGTAAATGCATTTGCAGATACTGGATCCTCGGGACTGGCCAAGGTGTCTTGGCCCCAGGAGGCTGAGGAGGTGAAGGGAGGTAGTTGGTGCAGTAGGGGGTGCAGGACCCGCCCTTGAGCCCTTCTTGGGGACTTCTCCGCCCCCTGCTCTGGGCTCTGCCCCATTCTCCCTGCTAGTCCTCACGAGAGCCCGCCTCTCCCACAGCTGAGTACAGAACCCTGTGCCCGGGCGGCGAGGGCTTCCGGCCCAACCCCACTACTGTCATTCTGGAAGGTGAGTTTCCACCGGCTGCCCTTTCTCACCCCCACCTCACCGCAGTGTGGAGCTGGGCAGTTTTGCGGGGGACAGATCCCCCCACCTGGAAGCCAGACGGCGTGGGGCAAGACCAGACAAGACTACTTCCAGGCGTTCAGCCTCGTCGTCTTCCACCTGTTGGTTTATCGTTCCTCCCCTGCGCCTTCCGCCATCGGTCCATCCACCCACTCACCCACCATGCCCCACCCACCCGTCCCTCCTCCATTCCCATCCGTCCATCTGTCCGTCCGTGCACAGAGGACAATGAGACTGAGAATTTTATCCAGAGGGAAGACGTGATGAGCGGTGGGGAGCCGGGCGAGGCCAAGGGGATGAATTCAGGGTGGCCCTGACCCAAGAGAGTTTGGGTACAGCCTCCACAGTGGGTCCTGCCTGAGCCCTCAGATATCTAACAGCTCCTGGGTATTTTTGTTCCCTATTGTACGATCTTTATAGAAAATAAATAGGACAAAAAACAAGGCAAATGCTGGAAGGCTCTTGGAACTGTTGAAGAAGCCCTGGGCACCACTGCCCTAGGGCACCTAGGGCAGGGTGCAGGTATCCCCCAAGGCCACTGTTCAGGTTTACCTTGCAAGCGTGACCTCCTCACCTTCTGCAGATGTCGACGAGTGCCAGGAGCTCCCGGGGCTGTGCCAGGGTGGCGACTGTGCCAACACCTTTGGCAGCTTCCAGTGCGAGTGCCCACCTGGTTACCACCTCAGCGGAAACACCCGCGTCTGTGCAGGTGAGCACAGACCCTTCTTCCTGCCCCGTCTCCCACCCAGCCTCTCCTCCCGCTCAGATTCTGGGGCCCAAAGTGCTCCCAGGCACCTCCTCTTTCCTTTGCTGCCTGGGTCCCTGGGGAGGGTCTGACACTTCGTAGTCCATCCCCTGCTGTGCTGGCCCTCCCCACCTCCTCCCGCTCACCTCCCACTGCTCAGATATGACCTGGCTTTGCTGTCCACCCTTCACGGAGAGTGCGTGCTGCCCCTGCACTAGAAAATTGACCAGGCTGAGTCCACTTACTTTTCTCAGCGAAACTACTCATGCAGCTCCTCTTCTCACCGAGTCACATCCGGAAGGATCTTCGCCTCACTCTTGGGGATGCTAGAATTACTTCCTGGGCTCAAATCATGTTTTCTCTTAAAAGAAGTGGGATCGTAGTACCTTTATTTTGAAAACTGAATGCCGGACCGTGTCTCTCCGCGTCTCCACGAGGGCTGTACGCTGTAAAGCAACCTTGGAACCCAGCTCAGTCCACACTGAAGGACACCTGGGCTGGGGGTTGGGGACTGTCCCATCACTTCCCGATGGTGCCTCTCCCTCCCCTGCAGACATCGATGAATGCTCCGCCCACCCAGGCATCTGTGGCCCAGGGACCTGTGACAACACCCTGGGGAGCTACACCTGTGTCTGCCCCGCAGAGTACCTGCCTGGCACCGGTGGCCACAGCTGCTTGGGTACAAGTGCCAGGGCTGGGGACTGGCAGTTGGAGAAGCAACCTGGGGGTGGGGGAGGGACTTGAGGAGTCTGTTAGCCTCCAAAGAGGGTGGAGAGGCACATCTGAGGGAGGCGAGAAGGCGAGGGGGTGTCTGAGATGTTGGTGTGGTGGGGCAGGGCCGTCAGCGCGCAGGGCCAGGCTGCCGTGAAGTTTGTCCCGGCTGTGCCCTGCCCAACAAAGGCTAAAATGCCAGGGGCCCGAGTGTGCTGGGAGCGATCAAGCCCGTTGTTTTCGCACGGCTGTGAATGAGCTCCCGTGGCTCGGTCTGTCTGCCGCTGGCTCACGTTTCCCTGCCCTGCCCGCCTCTCCCCAACTCAACTTACAGACATGAGAAGGAACGTCTGCTTCCGGCACTACGGCGGCGCGTGTGAGGACGAGCTGGCCGTCAGCGTGACCCGGAAGACGTGCTGCTGCTCCTACCACGTCGGCCAAGCCTGGAACAGACCCTGCGAGGCCTGCCCCTCCCCCACCAGCTGTGAGTGCCCCTCCCCACCGTCTTCCAGCTCGGCTCTGGCTCTGTGTCTAAGGAGGAATAGCCCCCCCTTAGAGCTCCCCGGTAGTTTCCGTTGCTCTGGGGTGAGCTGAAGAATTCCGCTTGTGTCCCAGTTCATGTATGGAATCAGCACTTCTAGGTGGGCAAGGTGCCTCTCCTTCCACTTTGTAAACTTAGGGGATTCAGAAAGAATCCGTGGGGCTTGCCATTGTGCAAAAGCCCTTGAAGACTCGCAGACAACTGGGGCAGGGGCTGGTGAGTGCCTTGGGTCAGGGAGAAAGGGGAACTGATGCGAGGGACTGGGTCCTCATGAGCTGGGGATGGGCAGACTCGGGCAGGCTCGGGCTGACTGCTGAGATGTCCGCGAGGAAGAAGCAATGTCAGGGAACAGCGTGAGCGAGGGCCCGGAGGCAGGACTGAGCAGGAACCATCCTGGCAGAGTGACCTGGAGGCCAGCCAAGGGGTCAGACACAGCCTCAGACTGGGACAGTGGTTAGAAGTAGGCGTCTGGGGCTTGTAGTTGTGTTAGGACTGTGGCCTCGGGGTGTCTGCCCCCCGACCCGCACTCAGTTCATATATTGAAGCTATAACCGCAACGTGATGGTATTTGGAAGTGGGCAGGTGAGAGGTAATTAGGCCATGTGGGGGATCCCTCGAGGATGGGACTCGTGCCCTTATAAGAGACACAAGCAAGATGCTCTTTGCTGAGTGAGCCCATAGCAAGAGCCAGGAAGCAGGCCTCCACCAGACAGCAGGTTTGCCAGCACCTTGACCTTGGACTTCCCACTCATCTGCTGCCTGGGTTGGGGGGGCTCCGGGGAGCTTGCCTGTGGCTGCCCCGAGTCCTCAAGGCAGAAGTGGACTCTCCCAGGGGGCAGCACAGGGACCAGCACGTGCAAGGGCCCCGGGGCATGCAGAGCCGCACACATCCCTGTGTGCAGCAGCATCAGTGTGATGGGAAAGCCATAAGCGCAGCCGGCAGAAAGGGGGTGCAGGTCCTGAGCCCTCACCTGAAGAGCCGGCGTTCTCCGGGGAGGAGAGGGGGCTGGTGGGTGGAACTCAAAACTCCACGTTGAAGATCGCACCACACAATGCATGGTGACCTTAACCCTCCCGGTGCTGCTCAGTGCGGGAGGAAGAGGGCCCAGGGAGGTTTGGACTGCAGGGGTGGCAGAGACGTCCCCCCAGGGCCCTGGCCTGCAGCCCCGGTATCCCCGCCCTGTCCTCTGCCCAGTGGACTACCAGGTCCTGTGTGGAAACCAGAACCCAGGCTTCGTCACCGACGTCCACACAGGGATGCTGCTTGGTAAGTCACCCCCTGTCCCCTGATCGCCCAGGCGAGGCCTCCCTTTTCCTTCCGCCTTCCCCGGCAGGGGGCATCCTGCCCCACAGTACTTCCCTGTACTACAGAAGCAACAGAGTGTTTCTTATTAAGTTGCTATACTTTTTAAAAATTCTGATGAAATGCACAGAACATGTCGTTTCCCAGCCTCGCTGCTCGTGGGTGTCCAGCTCTGGCTTTAAATGCTCTTGGTGTCGGGCCCCCAGCCCCACCGTCAGCTCAGCTGAAACTGGCCCATGAAACTGGCCCCCTCCCCTCCCCTCCCCAGCCCCGGCTCCCACCTCCTGCCTCCTGAGCAGGCGATGCCTCGAGGGCGCCCCGGAGCGGAATCACACGGGCTCTGTCCCTCCGTGCCTGCTTATCGCACTGGCGCCGTGTCCCCCCGGGGTCGGCTCTCACCGCGGGGGCTTCAGTCCACCAGGCCAGGAGAAGCAGGTCTGCTAGGCCCAGAAAATGTGCATTTTCTAGAAAGATGCTCCCCCACGGACCCTCTCGTCCCTTCCCTCCCCGACGTCGGGCTCTCTCACGCGGCGGATGTGTTTGGCAACAGGATTTTCCGAGCATGTGGTTTGTGTTCACATGTCCCCGACTGCGTGGTCCCTCCGTTGAGGGTCCCCGGAACCCCCCAGGGGCCAGGCTGTCCTGACAGTTGCTGCCTTTCCCCAGACATCGACGAGTGTGGGGAGCTCCCCGCCGTCTGTGCGCGCGGCGTCTGCATCAACCAGTTCGGGAGCTTCCGCTGCGAGTGCTCCCGCGGCTTCCGCTACAGCGGCTCGCTGCTGGCCTGCACAGGTGCTCGCCCTGGGAGCCCCCTGCTCCTCCCCCACCCATGCTCCCTGGAACGTTCTTCATCTATAAACTTGGCTTCCCTGTCCGTTCTGGGGCTGACACCCTCCCAGGGGCTCCCTCACGTCGTCAGCCTCACTGGTTCTGGAGGCTTCCGGAGAGGCCACCTGCTCCGAAGCCCAGGGCTGGGCTTGGGTGGACTCTGGCAGGAAGGGCTACTCCCTAACCCCCTCGCTGGCCTGTCGCTCAGATGTGGACGAGTGTGCCAGTGCGCAGAGCCCCTGCCCGCGCAGCGCCAAGTGCGTCAACGTCCCGGGCAGCTACCACTGCACGTGTGCCCGCGGGTACAAGCTGTCACCGGGAGGGGCCTGTGTGGGTAAGCAGGGGGCCCGAAGGACACAGTTTGGGGATGAGGGGTGGGGTACAGGACAAAACCAGGCTCTCTTCACTCTGACATGGTAGGTGCAACTGGCGGGCCTTTGTCCTGGCTATGCGGGGCGGGCGTGCAAAAGGCTAGTGTGAGTGTGCGGGGATGGGGAAGGCTGAGCGTGGTGCTGGCAGTTCGGGGCCCTGACAGTATCTTAAGTGGGGGGCTTTCGGGTAGGTTCTGGCTCCCCCATTGCTGCATGCACAGGCTCAATAAACCAGTGGGGGCAGCTCAAGCCCACCTGCCTGCCCCCCTTCTTCTCAGGACAGAACGAGTGTCAGGAGATCCCAGATGTGTGTGGCCACGGCGACTGTGTGGACACTGAGGGCAGCTACACGTGCCTGTGTCACCGTGGTTTCCAGGCCTCTGTGGACCAGGCCCTGTGCGTGGGTGAGTCCTATTCTACTCCTGCTTCACAGGCCAGGCTGCCAAGAGCAGGGGAACCCCTGGGTGGGGTGGGAATGATGCTTCTGTCCATCCTGATTCAGAGTTTGCCAGGTTTGATTCCTGGCAATTAAGACCTTGGTTAAAACTGCCTCCTGACACCTCACATTCTCCATTTGGAAAGTGGGAGCACCAAATAATACCCAGGGTCCTTCCCAGCCATCACCCCCAGGGGTTCCTGCCCATTCACCTGGGCAGAGCTAGCCGCAGGGGCGCAGGCTGGGGCCAGGCCCTCACTGCCAGAGCCATGGGTAAGGCAGGCTCTGGGGATTGGCTCCGGCAGACGTGAATGAGTGTGAGCAGCAGCCATGTGGAAACGGGACCTGCAAGAATGTCGTCGGCTCCTACAGCTGCCTTTGCTTCCCCGGCTTCGTGGCAGCACACGATGGGGACTGTGTAGGTGAGCAGGCGGGGCAAGCAGGTCTCAGTGTCCCCAACTGAAAGCTGCATCCTTGGCTTGAGGGCACTTCTGAAATAAAGTATCTCACCCAGGGATCCTATCAGAAAAAGAACCCCAGGGGTCCCCTATATCCCTTTGATTGTCAGGTTGCCAGGTGCTCTCAAGCTCACATTCAGGTTAGTGGGAGGCAAGTGGGGAGTGTAGAGCAGAAGGTGAAAGCAAGACTTGGGTAGTGTTGTGCTGGCAACTTAGTGCAGTGGCTAAACTACAGTTTCCAACATTAGGTGGTATGAGTCCAAATCCCAGCTGTGCCGCCTGTGTGACTCTAGACAAGTCCCTTCTAACTCTCTGCTTTAGTTTCCTTATCTGTGAAACGGAGATTAATAGCAGTGCCTACCTACTTTGCTTTCAGACCAGGCTTCCAAACAAGAATCCATAGGTCAAGGAAGAAATCATAAGAGAAATTGGAAAATATTTTGAATTAGGGCCTCCCCGGTGGCGCAGCGGTTGAGCGCTGGGTTGCGAAGCTGCCCGCAGCCTCTGTGGCGCCGGTTCGATCCCCGGCTGCTCCCCGGCCACCGGAGGAGGGTCCCACATGGCGCGCAGACCTCTCCTGCCGCCCGCTGCTCCCCTCAGCAGTGTACTTCGGTCCTTCTGCCTGCTCTGCTCCCCGCTCTGGCTCTGGTGAATTCTCTCGCCCTCCCGTGCTTCTGACTGTACCCAGTGCTTGTATAAATAAATAAATAAATAAATCCTTAAAAAACAAACAAATAAATAAATAAAGGGCACCAAACCAATATTTAAAAAAAAAAAATATTTTGAATTAAATGAAAATGAAAACTCAACAAAATTTGCCTGGTGAAGCTAAAGAAGTACCTAGAGGCAAATTCGCAGTATTAAATGCTCCTATTAGACAACATTGGTATCTATTTCAGAGGATAGTTGGAAAGTTAATATACAGAGCCTGGGCACATGAGTGCTCGATAAATCAAAGTCACTGCCATCAACTTACCTTTATTCGGGACAGAAATGCAAGGGAGGCTCAGCCCTCAGATGCTGTGGGGTGACCCCACCTGCCCATCTCCTCTCTGCAGACATAGATGAGTGCACCACCCTGGCAAGGCAGGTGTGCCGATTTGCCCAGTGTCTCAACACAGCTGGTTCCTTCTACTGCCTCTGCCAGGCTGGCTTTGAGCTCACAGCTGATGGGAAGAACTGCATAGGTGAGTCTTGCCACGTTTCTGAAAGCCTTCTTAGCCATGTCCTGGTCCAAGTTTACCTGCAGTGGGCACTTCTGAATCAAAATAGTTCTATTTCATAATCATGCATTTATTTTAAGGTATAAAAAGAAGAAATAAAACCAGTAAGTCACTGTTTCCATAGGGCTTGTTTAGCGTGAGGCTGTTCTGAAAATATAAGTTTTTTGAAATATATAGTAGAGGCTCAAAATGGCTGCCTTGGAAATGGTTAGAGTCTGCAGGTGGCTCAAGAGTAGGAGCCTTGCTCTTTCTCCCCCCAGAGACCACTTGGCTCCTCCCATGACTTTCACCGAGATCCAGAATATCCATATCTAGCTGTCCCCATTGTCGTGAGGCTCAGCCCTGCTCCTGGGTCCAGGATCTCCCCTGAGAGAGCTTGTTTCAGGTCTTCAGCCATAATGCTAGGACCTCTTCTCTCCACAGACACCAACGAGTGTCTCAGCCTTGTGGGAACATGCTTGCCAGGCACTTGCCAAAACCTCGAGGGCTCCTTCCGCTGCATCTGTCCCCCTGGCTTCCAGGTGCAGAGTGACCATTGTGTGGGTGAGTGTCTGGCCCCATCTCCTAGCTTTGAGGCCAGGGAGGTGCTTCTGGGGTTCTGTTTCCCCATCTGTGAAGTGAAAATATCATCTGGGGTCGTGATGAGGGTGGAAATGCACTTATCCCAGCACTCAAAACAGCTCTGTCCACTGTGACTGTGCTTAAAAGGTAGTTCGGGATTCCCAACTCAGGGATTTCTCTCTCTGGGACCCAGAGGCTGCCTTGCAAACCCTATAGTGGGCCTGGCATTACCCCCATGTAGGCGGCGCTCCACTCCATGCGTGGTGTGTTCAAGGACCAGTCTGGCTTGAGCTCCACTGCTGTAGTCGCCGGTTAGGGTGACTTTGTACAGTGTCAGCTAGTGGGTCCAGTCTGGCCTGAGTAGCCAGGTTAGCCTCATACATCGTGGGCTAACGTGGAACATTCTGCCTGACCACGTCTGCTCCATTCATCCACCTGCGCGAGCCTTGTCTGGGCTAACTGGCCGGTCTTGCCTGAGCAGGGGGACTAGCCGCTTCCTCTGGGCTAACCTGGGTTAGTCTGGCCTGACCTCCTCTGGTCTGTGCCATCTGGGCTAGCCTTATACCAGCTGAGCAGCTGAGCTAACTCTGCCCAGTGTCTTCTAAATTTATCTAGTCTCAGTTAGGTTTGCTCAAATGTAGTCTCTAAAGGTGAACTTTTCCTGATTATGACCCCCACCCTGGAGATATCTTCTAGGGAAGATTCCCCCCCTCCTCCCTCTACCCACCGGGTGCTCCAGCTCATACCAGGCCCTGGAGATTCCTGCCCTGCTTCACTCCCCGGAATGGGCCTCCACCCCATGCATCTGCCCTTCCTGACAGCCTCCGCCTTGGAGGAGGTCCTGTTTGCCCCCCACCCACTTGTGTCTGCCCTTCCAGACGTCGACGAGTGTTCACAGGATCCCAACCTCTGCCTCTTTGGCACCTGTACCAACAGCCCTGGCAGCTTCCGGTGCCTCTGCCCAGCTGGTTTTGTCCTTTCTGACAATGGGTACCGTTGCTTTGGTGAGTCTGTGGCCCAGGAGCCATAGGGGTGAGGGAAGAGTCGGGAGGGGGAGTGGGGAAGAGGTGGATCACCCAGAGCGGGGCTGCAGTTTCTTTCAAGGAGCTCTGTCCAGACAGAGGGGCCTCTTGGCCAGAGAGGCCACTTCTGCAGAGGGCTGGCCTGGGCCAGTCTGGGCTAGCCTGGTCTGGTGGCCTTCCTGTTTTGGTCCCAGTTGCCCTACCTGGGCAGGCTTCATTCATTCTGAGCCTGCCGGGAGCACTCTGGGCTGGCTTCGTCCCTGCTGGACTAGCCTCGTGCCGTGCGGGCTAGCCTCACCTAATTTGAGCCAGCCTCGTCTCTCAGGCTAGGGCCAGCAATGTGGAGGGCAGGACAACACCACCAGTAACTGTTGTCCCCATGGTGACAACAGACCCCAGCCTGACCTGAGCACTGCTTAGGCTACAGGGAGTCTGCAGCTAAGGACTTGGGGGTCAGCGTCGAGAAGTTGGGGTCTGACCTTTGGGTTCCTCTGACTCTCTGGAGTCAGTAACTTTGCCCCTCCAGGAAGGGGATTCTGATCCAAGAATAATTGGCTGAATTTGTTTACCTGGCGTGGATGGGTTCCCCCATAGCAGTGAAGGTGGGTTTGCTGGAAGATTCCCTGGCATCGAGCAAAAGCCCGGGCTGGCCCAGGGCTGACCCAGGGCTGACCCAGTGGAGGGCAGATGTCCATCCCTGACCCATCACTACGGCCAGGGGCGGAGTGTTCTGATTGGCTGCAGTAGGGCTGGAGTTGCCCCTTCGCCAGGACTGGGGAGGCTGCCAGGCAAGTGGGCACTGCCGAGGGCCCTTCTGGCATTTCTCTGGAGAATCATCCCACAGACACACGGCAGAGTTTCTGCTTCACCTATTTCGAGGCTGGCGAGTGTCTGGCGCCCAAAGCTTTCAATACCACCAAGGCCCAGTGCTGTTGCAGCAAGAGGCCCGGCCAGGGCTGGAGCCACCCCTGTGAGCTGTGTCCTCCAGAGGGCAGTGGTGAGCGCCCTGCAGCTGGAGGGGGCTGGGGTGCAGGGTCTCTCCGCTGTCCCGTCTCCCCTCTGATTCTGCCTACACCCCCCACCCCCACCCCCGTCTACTCTCCTTTCCCGCCACTCCCCAGCCCGGTCTCCCCTGCCCACATTCAGGGGGTTCCTGGGGACTGCATCTGGCCCTGAACGTCACCCCTTTCCCTCTGTGTGTCCAGCTGCCTTTCAGGAGCTCTGCCCCTTTGGCCACAGGGCAGTCCCGGGCCTGGACAACTCTTGGAGAGGTGAGCACTTTGCCCAATGCCAGGCAGCCCCTCCCGGCCGTCCACCCGTTCTTTCCTGCCCAGCCTGACTGGGCACTGCCTCCGTGGGTGAGACCGGACCCTGCCACCCAGGAGGGAGGAAGAGTGTGACCCCGACTCTGACTGAGGCAGGACGGAGACCTTGCCTGTCACCCCCTATGCCCGCAGATGTGAACGAGTGTGAGGAAAACCCCGGCGTCTGTAACAACGGCCTTTGCGTCAACATGGACGGCTCCTTCCGCTGTGAATGTCCCTTGGGCTACCAGCTGGACTCCACGGGCAGCCGCTGTGTGGGTGAGTGACCAGCCCCCCTGGGGAAGGGACGGGGCAGGCGAGGGCAGGCAGACACCCCCGAGGCAGGATCCTGTCCACAGCCACTGTCACCCCCATGTCCTCTGATTTCTTATGTCCCTTGTTGACTCACTCGCTCACTCACACATTTTCCTATTCATTGACACACTCGTTTGTTCACTTGTTCATGCGTTCACACACTCAGTTACTCCTTCCTTCACTCAGGCACTCTCTTGCTCATTCATTTTCTCCTTCACTTACCATTTATTCGTTTGTTCACTCATTTACTCACTCACCCTCCCGCCCACCCACCCATCCCCTTGCCCCCCACGCACAGTGATCTGGGGCGCGCCTGCTCCGCGGCGGCCTGCAAGCGCGCCAGGTCAGACTGCGGTCCGGCCCGCGCAGTCACCGCGAAGGCAGGCGCGGTGACTGGGGCAGGGGTGCTGTGGGCTGACTCCCTGCCCCCCGCTGCAGACACAGATGAGTGCTCTGTCGGGCATCCCTGCGGGGAGGGCACCTGCACCAACGTCATCGGAGGCTTCGAGTGTGCCTGTGCTGACGGCTTTGAGCCCGGCCCCACGATAACCTGTGAGGGTAGGACCCGGCTGCCCAGGACGTGGCTGTATGATGGGCACGTGGGGGGTGCCCTGAGCCAGGGGGCAGGGGCCTGCCGCCAGGCCCTGCTGCTAGCCAGCACCCCCACCGGCCTCCCCAGACATTGACGAGTGCGCCCAGAACCCCCTGCTCTGCGCCTTCCGCTGCCACAACACTGAGGGCTCCTATGTGTGCACCTGCCCAGCTGGCTATGCCCTGCGGGAGGACGGGGCCATGTGCCAAGGTAGGGCAAGGACAGGCAGGGCCTGGGGCTCTCCACTTCTTGGTCCTGCGAGAAGGGCCTGTGCGTCTGAGGGTGGGAACAGGCGATCGTGACAGGGAGGGCTGAGCTGGGTGAGTGGGCAGTGGCCACTTGGTCTGCTGGCAGCCTTGTCTGTGTGAAAATGGGGTGCTAGCTGCCCCCGGGAGCCCAGGTCTAACAGTGTGGGTGTGACCTGGAAATCTCTCCCCTGGGGGCCGGACGTGCCCTGAACGGGGTGGAACAGCGGGGAAAGCAGTTGGTTTCCCAGAGCCACGTGGTGGTTTCTGGAGACATTTAGTTGTTGTTCGAGCTGGGGGAGAGGACTGTTACCCGTGTCGGGGCAGGGATGCCGCTGAGAAACCCTGGGCCAGGACTTGGTTCTGCAGGGCTGTTTCAAGTCGGTGCTCCATGGAGCATGGGCGAAGGCCACGCAGGGTCACAGACCCTAATGTGGGCAGGAGCTCCGTGTTTGGGGTGCTTCTGACCCCTCTGGCTTTCCAGGAGGCCTGGCCTGGGTGGAGGAGGGATGGGCGGAGCTGCAGGGACCTCTCTCTAGCCCCACTGAGGCCACTGGGGTGGGGTCCAGGCCTCCACGGCTAGAGCTGGCCGCGGGGCCTGGACTTGGCCGCCACCATCCCTGACCGCCGTAGATGTGGACGAGTGCGCTGACGGGCGGCAGGACTGCCGCGCCCGGGGCATGCTGTGCAAGAACCTCATTGGCACCTTCGCTTGCGTCTGCCCCCCGGGCCTGAAGCCCCAGCCTGGCTCCGGGGAGGGCTGCATAGGTACGGGGGTGCTCCGGGGGTATAGGGATCCCCACTGAGGGGAGAGGTCAAAGCAAGAGGTGTGAGCAGACCTGGAGGGGGGCCTTCCAAGCTGTGGGAGGCTGGCTCGGGGACTCTTCCCACCCACCCCAGCCTGTCTCAACCCTCCCCACTCAGATGACGACGAGTGTCAAGCCCAGCCCGGCCTCTGCGCCAACGGCCACTGTGTCAACACGGTGGGCAACTTCCGGTGCAGCTGTGACGAGGGCTTCCGGCCCAGCCCCACTCTCACTGAGTGCCTTGGTGAGTGGGGCCAGGCCAGGCGCGGTGGGTACAGACGCCCGTTGCCGCCTGGGAGCTCCTTGAGGCGGGGATGGGGCCTGGGGCACTGAGGGGTAACAGCCGATTCAGATACATGGGTCGACCGTAGACCTCCGCTCTTCAGCCCGACACCCCGGGAGCAGACCTCCCTCCTCCCCTGCTCTCTCCTCCCCCTCACATCTCTCACACCCAGGCACAGCCTGGCCCGCCTCAGGTTCGCCGCTTGCTGGGGCTAAATTTGTGCCATCTGCCCTGTGACTTGTCTGTCCCTGTCCCCAGAGTCCTCGCCCTTCCCCTTCACTCTCCCCTGCCTCCAGCACGGCCCCACCCACAGCTTCAGGCCAGATGTGCGTATCCAGCTGCCTCCCAGAAGCCCACCCCCCATATGGTTGACGCCAAAGCAAGTTCAGATTCTTTGCCTCAAGCCCCTGGACGTCACCCTCTGCTCTGTCCCCACTGTCTGTTCTGGACGCCACCACCCTTGCTTCCTCCCCAGTGTCTCCGACCTCGGTGCGGCCCTTGACCAGTCATTCTCTCCATGGCCAGACAGATACCACCTTTGGCCCTTTAGGAGGCTTCTGGCATCTGTAGCCCAGAGGTATCTTTGATCTTTGGGGCTGCAGCCTCTGCCGTGACCCCAGGCCCAAGCCAGAGGGGGTGTCTGACCATGCTAGTCCTCAGTGACTACGATTCCGCCCTGGCACGTGCACAGGCATGTCAGCGACGTGTGGGACCTGGGTGCCGCAGTGCCTGGAGGGCCCAGGGGCAGGGGGCCTGGACGCCACGTTTCTCCCCCAGCCCTGCCCGTTCTCCGCAGATATCCGCCAGGGGCCCTGCTTCTCTGAGCTGCTGCAGGCTGCGTGCCAGGCCCAGGCCAGCGGCGGCGAGGCTGTCACCTGGGCGGAGTGCTGCTGTGGGGGCGGCCGTGGCTGGGGCCCCCTCTGTGAGCTCTGTCCCCTGCCCAGCACCGCCGCCTACAGGAAGCTGTGTCCCCACGGCGCAGGCTACACGGCAGAGGGCCGAGGTGGGTGGTTCTGCCCGCAGTCAGGAGCCGCACGCCTGGGGTGGAGGGGGCGGGAACCAGGACCCCTGCTGCTCTGCGTGTGACCTTGGTGCACTTGGGTGCACGGACTCGTTAATGAGCGTGTGCAAGTGTGTGGGCTGGTGCACATTCCCCATGTGCAAGCGGCTAATGAACACGTGGCGGTGAGCGTGCGCGTGCTCGTCCTTGTGTGTGAGTCTCTGGGGCATGTGCTGGTGAGCACAGCAGCTCGCTGGGTGCTGGGTGCTGGGTGAGGCACACGAGCCCGTGGGTGAGTGAGCGGACTGAGCCCGTCTGCATGCTGTGGGTGTGTCTGTGAGCAAGAGTGAGTGTATCTGCACGAGCACATCGTTGAGGCGAGGGGGCCTTCCCAGGTGGTCAGTGATGACAGGTGGGGCTGGGAAGGAAGTGCCTTTTCCAGGGTGTGCCTGGGGGACAGAGGAGCCTCTTGTGTGTGATTTTGCAGGAGCACAAGTGTGTCCCTGTGTGTGAGTGTCCTGAGATGTCCTGGCAAGGCTGTGGGGTGGCGCGTGTCTGCCAGGCTGTCCTCAGTGCCCAGGCTGGGCAGCTTTGTCCGTGTGTCCTGCTAGCCGAGGGCAGAGGCCCCCAGGATTGAGGGGGAGCAGGGGCTCCAGGGGAGGCTGATGGGCAAAAGGGGGCACCCCACTGCCTGCATTGCCCTAGCCGCTCCCTGATTGTCTATCCCCAGACGTGGACGAGTGTCACATGCTCCCTGGGCTATGCCACCACGGGGAGTGCATCAACAGCCTCGGCGCCTTCCACTGCCACTGCCAGGCCGGGTATGCGCCAGACGCCGCTGCCACAGCCTGCCTGGGTGAGCCCCTGGCCCCTGCCCCCTGACCCAGCCCAGCCCCTGCACATGGTGACTGACCTACACTTCTGTGGGGCCCTCCAGTTTGCAACACCTTGTTTCCCTTTACAAAGTGATGCCCATTCCATAAAGAAAGCTGAGAACGAGGAAATCGTAGCAAAGCATCTGAGGTCCTTCCCCCACCTCAACCCCACTGGGGCCATTTTCCTCCAGCTGTTTTGTTTATCTGAAGATTTTTAGTCACATTGTGCAGCATCTAGGTCAGAGGTCAGCAAACTCCTTCACACAGGTAGAACCTGAGCCTGCGCATAATTGTGTTAATAAAGTTTTATTGGCACACAGCCGTGCTTGTTCCTTACTGTCTGTGATTGCTTTACTGCTACCAAGGCAGAGTCAGACTTGTGACTGAGATCATGTGTTCTGCAGAGCCAAACATATTTACTCTCTGGCTTTTTATAGAAAAGGGCCAGTTCCTTATGTAAGTCACAGATTCTGAATGCCTAGGGTCTGGGAAGGAGGCCTCAGCAGGGCCTGGGTGAGCCCCCAGGAGTGTGTCTGACCCCCCTGCGTGCCATCGCCCCCTCTAGATGTCGATGAGTGCAGCCAGACCCCCAAGCCATGTGCCTTCCTGTGCAAAAACACGGAGGGCAGTTTCCTGTGCGCCTGCCCCCGAGGCTATGTGCTGGCGGAGCCCGGCAGGACCTGCAGAGGTGCCACCCTCCCGCCCTGCCTGCACCCCTCCCCATCATGCCCCATGGGGGTCTGTCCCCATGCCCCAGGCTGCCCCAGGCTGCCCCTCCTCCCTGCATGTGTGGGCACCATCTCTAAGGTCACTCCCAGGAGGCCCCGGCACTGGCCGGGCCTGTTCTGAACGCACTGGGCCGTCTGTGCCGCAGACCTGGATGAGTGCGCCTCCAGGCAGCACAACTGCCAGTTCTTCTGCGTCAATACCGTCGGCGCCTTCACCTGCCGCTGTCCCCCTGGCTTCACGCAGCGCCACCAGGCCTGCCTCGGTGAGTCCCGCCTTCAAGCAGCGGTTCTTTTGTGACCCCAGCCTTCATTTGTTTCTGAACCAAGTGAGTAGCCAGTGCCCAGTGTGTGCTGGGCGTGCGGGCGCGAGGGTGATCCTTGTTTGCACATGTCCCGATGCCATCAGGCTCCCTCCTTTCCCTAAGGACCTGGGAGGCCCGCCCTCAGGAGTCCCTCTGATCTTGGTGTAGGACATTCACCCTTGGGTCTTCTGGCCTGGGGAACAGGATCTCCCCTAAGGGATGAGTCCAGGGAACAGTGGTCCCAATCAGGTTAATTAATTAATTAAATAATTCTCACAAAACCACAGTGAAGTGGGTCTGATCATCTCCATGCTACCACTGAGGAAACTGAGGCCCAGAGAGAGCAAGTGGCTCCAGGTCATGCAGCTCTAAGGTGGTACAGATGAGATTCACACAAAGCCGTGTGTGTGTGTGTGTGTGTGTGAGAGAGAGAGAGAGAGAGAGAGAGAGAGAGAGAGAGATCTCAAATGCCAGAGGCAGTTCTGTGAGGTGGGAACCATTCTGGATCTCATTTCACAGAGGGGAAACTGAGGCACGAGCAGGTAAGCCACACTGTGGATCAGCTGGTGGTGGGCCCCGACTGTGGTGCCGGCACGAATTCCCTAACTGCTCTCTGTCCACTGCAGACAATGACGAGTGCTTGGCCCGGCCCGGCCTGTGTGGTGCCCACGGGCGCTGCCACAACACCCCAGGCAGCTTCAGATGTGAGTGCTCCCAAGGCTTCACCCTGGGCAGCTCCGGCCATGGCTGCGAAGGTAGCGCCAGCCCTTGGGTGGGGCTCAGCCCGGGGGTGTTGCTGAGGGCCTCTGATGTACCCATTCTCTCCCTCTGCCCCCTCCCTCTGTCTCACAGATGTGGATGAATGTAATGGGCCCCATCGCTGCCAGCACGGTTGTCAGAACGAACTAGGGGGCTACCGCTGCAGCTGCCCCCAGGGCTTCACGCAGCACTCCCAGTGGGGCCAGTGTGTGGGTGAGTGGTGGGGCTGGGAGGAACCCGGTTCTCCACTAAAATCTGTCCAGAGTAGGCAATTAGGAACGACTTCCTGAGGGATATGTCACGAGCACCACTGTGTAGAGGTCAGTGGGCTATCCTGCGTGGTAGCGAGTCCTCTACTGCCAGGGAGACTGGGGAGTTAGGGGGTGCAGAGCCAGCACAGCCCCCTCAACAAATGACAGTTTCCAGTGTCAGTCGGTGAGCAACTTGGTTCCAGATCAGCTCACAATGTAGGACTTTGGGGAAATTTTAGGACTATTTGAAGGAATTTCAGGGCTAGGGGTGGGGCAGTGTGAAGGCGTGTAAGGGGGGTGCAGACCAAGCCCGAGGACACGGGAGGCGGTGACAGCAGCCTGAGCTGTGAAGGAGGAACCGAGTGGGGAGAGGATGCCACGGCTGTCTGCTGCCCCCACCGTGTCCTCCCTTCCCCCTCCCACCCGCAGATGAAAATGAGTGCGTCCTGTCGCCCGAGGCCTGTGGCAGCGCCTCCTGCCACAACACCCTGGGGGGCTTCCGCTGCGTCTGCCCCTCCGGCTTCGACTTCGACCAAGCCCTGGGGGGTTGCCAGGACGTGGACGAGTGTGCCACGCGGGGCGGCCCCTGCAGCTACAGCTGCACCAACACCCCCGGTGGCTTCCTGTGTGGCTGCCCCCGAGGCTACTTCCGGGCTGGACAAGGGTGAGGCTCTGGGAGCGAAATGGACATACACACTTGAACCCCACAAGCGTGAGCACATGTGGGCCCCAGAGGCCAGCAGACCTGGCGTGTGCACACGCTCCCTGGGGCATCTTTGTCCTCACTGAGCACCTTACGCTTGCACGTCCTGGGCGGTAGGTGCACACGTCCCTGTGAAACATGAGTGTGTGCACGGCTCATGCCTTTGCCAGCACACTTGTGCCCTCTTAGTCTCGCTGTGCTCGTATGCACATGCACGGCAGCATCCTGGGGTGCACGGTGGCTCGCACGTTCACACACTCCTAGGTACACTCAGGTATGTTCACACAGGAATGTTCACACATGCCGGTTCACACCTGAGCCAGTAAGTCCTAAGCAGGCGAGGAAGGTGTGCACACCTCTCATGAAGGTGCGCGACGCCTCGGGATCGGTCCTTAGCTAAGGTCTCCTGCTGTTCCTCCCTCTGGCCCTGGGGCTGGGCACATCAGCACGTATGCTGGCAGAGCCTAGCTCTCAGCCTGCCTGCTCCACGTCCTTACCAGTACAGTGGCACGCCGCCCTTGCTCACAGGGGCGCTGTGCTGAAGCGTGGTAGGTGGCGGTGGGTGCTGGAGCTTGCACTGGCCTGCCTCTGAAGGCCACCATCTTGGTTCAGGCACTGCGTCTCTGGCCTGGGCTTTAACTCCAGCCCTCAGCACACCCCGGATGAGGCGCTCTCCCCGGAAGCCTGCTATGAATGCAAGATCAACAGTCTCCCTGCTCAAGACCGGACTCGGCGCAGTGCACGCGGGGACTACCAGGTGCCTCGGGGTGCGGTGGGCATGGGACACAGCAGTGGTGGGGGCTCTGAACCCCATGTCCCAGCTTACCCCCCGTCCTTGGCAGTAGATGGCGGGGGCTCTCTGGGGACCCAGGCCTCCATGCACCTATCTCACTCCTGGTAATGAGTCAAGCACTTCCCACACACACACTGAGTGGGCTGCTTTCCGGGGATGCCTTCCATAGCAGTTGGATGCAGGAGAAATACCCTGGGATCCCCAACCCTGCCTCTGCCTCAGAACTCGTGACCTCACAACCCTTGACTGCAAAGCACTCCCTTAGAGCTCCTTTGGATTTAGCACCAGTCGGGGCCTGGAAAGCCAACTTAGCCCCTGCATTAATTAACCCCCTTTAGACCTGCCCATACCCTTTCCCCTCTTCCTATGTCCTGAGCTGTGCTCAGGCCTCCCACGCCTCTTGTGTCTAGGCCTTAGCTTTGTCCCTCCTTACCCTGGCTGTTCTTGACCCCACCAGGTTGTTCAGGGAGGATGGTTTGCCACAGATCCAGCCTGTCCATCCTTCACCAAAGAATCCCTGAAGCTATTGATCATTCTTGCTGCCATCCTTTAAGGAATCTGAAAGCTAGCAGTCCTGGAAGGTGGTGATGCCATTTTACAGATGGGAAAACTGAAGCTCAGAGGGATTAGATTACATGCCCAAGTTACATAACTTGAACGTGGCAGAGCAGGGATTCCATGACTGTGTCACTCAGCCTTTGTTACAGGCAGCTGTGGCCTTCACGGTCAAGCATCCCTCTGGGGTCATCAACTTCTGAGGCCATTGATTTACATTTTTTCAAAAATAAAATCATTGAGCACAGAAGCCATTACTCAGCAGCTCACCTCCAGCAGACATCTGGACCCAAACTCACTCAACATATTTTGCTAAGCGTTGTGTGCTGGGTTCCTTAATATAGTTATCAGTGAATTAAAGGGAAAAAAAAAAAACCTTGCAAAAGTCCCCATCCCTATGTGGCTGGTTTTCTAATAGAGACAAACAGGAAATAAGTAAATCATATTTTATAACACATGATACATAATAATACATGATAAATGTGATGGAGGAAATGAAGGCAGAGTGGGATTAGAATGCTGGGCCTGAGGGGCTTTCAGTATTAAATTAAGTATTTGTATTTTACTCTGCTTGTTCCCCCTTTGCTGGGGAAAGAAACTATGATGGTATGTATTATCCGATCGTTACTGTTATTTTTTCTTAAGTATATGTATTATCCCATTGTTACTATTATTTTCTCTTAAGTGTCAGAAGGGTACAATCCTGTCAGGCTTGCTGCTGTTTTTCCAGCCTTTGGTACTCAGTAAGAGCAAGTGGAGGGGTTGTCGGGGTTCCTGGGATGGGCACTGGCAGATCTGGGCTGAGGAAGAACAAACCCTGTAGCTTTGCTTGCAATACCCATGGGCTGCCAGCAGGTGTCAGTAAGAGTGCATATCTGAGCAACACTCGGAAACGGTTGAAAGCTTCACAATGGAGACAGGGAAACAGGAATAGCTTTTACTTTAATGCAGCAGCAAAACATTCCATAGGCATATAAATTAAGCAGATCAAAGGCAGCACTGCCCAGAGTAAAGGACGAGAAAACACTCATATCCTCCTGTAGAACTTGGTCTGGCACCCTGGCCGTTAGCCTGCCACAGAGGCGTGCTGTTTTATTCAGGGTTCTGTCTAGCTGCCAGGACTGGCAACTCACTCAGAGGAACTCAGATAAAGATGGGTTTGTTATCTGCACACAGGGGCTCTCAAAAAACCCAGATGCAGGAAGTGCAGCAAGCCTCTGGGAACCGGAAAGCTCTCTGGTGGCTCTCTCTCTGCCCAAGTGGGTCCTGTATTTTCACCACACTGTATCGACTTCAGCATCCTTTCCCCCAAGACTTAGAGGGTGTGTGATCCTTGGTCATAACTCCAGACAGCCCATGTCCTCTTTGAGTGACCTTAGGGTCTGGGACCTGCTACCATCTGACTGACTCCCTGTCTGAGGGCAAATGCCTTCCCCCCAATCAGACAGGGATTTGAGCCCCCTCAGCTGAGACTCCATATCTGGAGTCTGTGTGTAAAAGTGGCCACCTATATTACCCTCTTGCATTCCACTTGGGAACCAAACTCTGCTTTTGTCTGTAGCCTAGGCTGACCCCTGGCCTTGTGGATGGAGGCCTGGATGGAAGTCAAGGGCAGAGTGCTCCAGGTTTTCTCCACTTTAAAGATGGGCTGGAATCTCCTTTTCACCTTGGGCCCATAGCTCTCTACCCTCCACATTTCAGTTGTCTCCTGATGATCCGCCTGGTCTTTCTCCCCAGGTGAACCTAGCTGGCATTGACTCAGAGGCCCCTCTGACCTTGGGCCTGAACCTGTCGTGCCTGGGCCAGGCAGAGCACATCCTGGAGCTGCGGCCTGCCCTAGAGAACACTGGGGGCTGGGTTCGCTATGTCATCTCCCGCGGCAACAAGCAAGGTTTCTTCCGCATGCGTCACCTCCGCGGCCTCAGCTCCCTGCAGTTGGGGCGTCGGAGACCAGGGCCTGGAACTTACCAGCTGGAGGTGGTGAGCGTGGTAGGGTCCTGGAACCCCAAAACCCAGTCAGAGGGGCAGACAGGGCCAGGTGTCCGGGCCCTACGACTGAAGGTACAGCTACAGCTGCTGTAGTGGGAGGAGCCCGTCCTGCTGCCCAGCCTCAGGTGCCTCCCATGCCCCCTCCAGGCTCCAGCATGGGCCCAGCCAGGCCCTGTCTCTTTCCATGGGGTTTTGGGGAGACTGATGACCTGCTTACTACATGCCCTAAGTAGTACACACCGGGGTGACAAGCCCTGGCCTCAGCAGGCTCCAGGACCCCATGCCATCCTCTTCCCCAGCGGTGGGAGATTGTGGAGCTGGGATGGACTGCTCCCCAGCAGCAGTGGCTTGCCAGGTGGGACCCCAAAACTCAGGAAGAATGAAATGCTACACAATGACCTCAGACAGGTCTGCCTAGGGGATCCCAGTATGCGGCCTCTCCTGGAGACAGCTGGAAGCTTCAGTGTGCACCCACCACCTCCAACAACCAGGGTCGAGGAGGACCCTGTTTCACTGTGTGGTCAGTCTCAGGCTTGAACTTATGCACCGCGCCGTGGCTGCCCCAGGGGGTTGGCAGGACTGGGCAACAGTGACTGGGGTGGGGTGGGGGTGGGACTCATCTCAGAGCAGAAGGGCCCACAGGGCCTTTACCAGAGTGGGTGACTCATGGCCATGTTCATGCTTCCAGGAGCTGGGCTAAGGGTTCAAGGATGCTTTTATATGAGAAGCAAGGACAATAAAGTTATTTTGCGTTAAGTCTGCTCCCTGGGGAAGTTCTGGCAATCAGTAGACATTGCCCACAAAAAAAGGCCAGGTTCACATTTAAGAGATCCCTGTGGCCCCAAAGGGCAGCTCTGAGAAGGACGAGCATGCAAGTGAGAGATGAGTGAAGACCACCCTCCACCTAAGGGTCAGGGACTGATCCCAGGATGCAGGCCCAGTGGGTTCCACCAACCTCAGTCCCCTGAGGGACTGGGCGCAAAGCCGACTGTGGAGGTCAACCACTGGGGGGCACTGTGGGTTCACCATCCTGAGATGTCAGCTCACGCCTCCTGACCAGTGCTGCGGGCGTACCAGGCACTGCTGCGTGTTTTACAATCACTGACCCTGTGGCTGCGGAACAGATGCCACTATTGTCATCCCCTCTCACAGCCTGGAGGCCAGACTCAGAGGTCAGGCAACTTGTCTGACGTGGCTCAAGTTGCAGATAACAGAGTGGGGTTCAAAGCGGAGCCGCCTGGTTTGTCCCATTCATTGCACCATCCTGCTGGTTCTAGATCTACATGGGTACTTGATTCAGAATCCTTACCTGCACTGTCTGTTGTCTGGAGGGAGGTCCTTGTTCTGTTCATGGAGGGGTTGCCAAGATATTTCTTTTGCGATATGATGATTCGATATTTTTATATATTGTAAAATGTTTATCACATTTAGTCTCATTAACATCTGTCCCCGTAGAGATCAACAGAAGCCAATGGCTGAGCTCGGTGACCATCAGCGAGTGTGTGTGTGTGTGTGTGTGTGTGTATGTGTGTGTGTGCGCGCACGCGCGTGCGCACGCACTGGGCATGTCACAAAAATAGTGTTTTGAGTCTCCAGCAAGCTTGTATGAAGCAGACAGGATTATCCCCAAGGCTTGGGGGTGGGAGGGGCCAAGGCTTAAAGGGTTTGTGGAATCTGCCTGGGCCCCCCTAGCGTGGCAGGGCCTGGAAGTGACCCAGCTTCCTCTAAATCTGTGCCCTGGCCCCAAACTGCAATTTGTGCTCTAGAGATTTCCACCTGAGAGGCTTTCTATTGTGGTGGGAACTGAGCTGAGTCTGGGTGAGCCCCCAGGCCCTTATCTGTAGTCTTGCCTCCACTGCCAACGGGCACCATGCCTGGCCCCAGCTCTGTCCTTGGCCTGGGCCTGGCCTTCCTCATTGGTCAGGAGCTTCTGGTTACCCATCTGAACTTCTGGAGGGCTTGCCCTCCAATAACTGGTCTCCCCATAGCACAGAGCAAGCACAGTGGCCCCCATTTTACAGAGGGAAAGAGGTGCGGAGGTGAGCAGATGGTTTGCTCAAGGTCATCAGCTGGGACCCTCAGCACTAGACTCACATGGGGACTGCAGCCAGCATGCCCAATGCTCCCTGCCCCAAGCCATCTGCTGCCGAGGCTGAGACCACAGCCTTCTGGGCGTGGGGCAATCGTGGGATCCACCCCAGGCTGGGCAGTCACTTGCACATATAAGGAAATGTGACAGATAGCAGTGATGTTCCACCGAAGATTTATTTGAAAGTTAGCAAAAGTACACTGTGGAATGGACAGGAGTGGCCCTCCAGTAAGCAGCTGTCAGGGGGGCACAGACAGATGTGGTCTGGAGTGGGTGGCAAGAGGCTGTGGGTGGATGACATAACCTAATTCTCTAAAAAAAAAAAAAAGAAAAAAAAAAGAAAAGGAAAAAAACCTGTTGCCTGGGCCAGGCAAAGAACTTGAAATAAGGTCAGCTCCCTCCTTCTAGCTGCCTGAGGAACTGGGGTGATTGGGTAACAGGGAGGGAACTAACACAGTGGCAAGCACAGGTATTGAGATTTGGCCTGAAGGATAGAGCGTCTGGGACAACGGGGGCTGCAGGCTGCAGTTTCCAGGCAGAAAGGCCCGCCGATCTCTGGCTGGCTCATCCTGGAGACGTTTGTGCTCACTGTCCTGCAGGAAGAATTGGAGAGGCTGGCAGGTGATCTGGGGTGGAGTGGGACCCCTGCAGCTCTGGCCCACCCATCTGGTATTTCATCTCTTGCTGAAGCTTTGTTGGAGACCCCTGGGTTGGGTCAGGTGTGAACCTTCAGGCTGACCAAAAAGTTAGGCCTCGTTCCTGGAGGCATATCTTCTGAGCCAGTCAGGGCTGCTCGTGAGTCTCAACTTGGGTGGAGGGATGGGTACATGATCCAGAATCCTTACTTGCACTGTCTCTTGTCTGGACGGAGGTCCTTGTTCTGTACACGGAGGGATTGCTAGGCTTGGATGACAGTAGCCTGGCACAAATAGCTGTCCAAGAGATACAAAGAGAAATAGATAAAAGCTCCAATACCTTTTGAGTGCCTGGGTCCAGCCAAACCTGAAATCTTTGGCTGGGTATTTCAGTAGAAGAGTTGCCACTTGTTTCAGTGTTCCAAGTCCAGCAATGAAGTGTCTTGACAGGGAGTCCCCCACTCAGTCAGCCTCCCACTCACCAGCAGCTGGCATCTGGGCGAGGGCATCTCTGAGCATGCTGGACTTTGGGTGTTTAGAAGCTCAGGGACCCACAGCAGGGAGATCCAGCCCCCGAGAGGCTGGGCTGGGGTTTCACCCACCTGAGAGGTTGCCAGAGCTGGGCTTTGGGTGGGCATCCTTCCGCTTGTCCACGAACTTAACCCAGTCTTGCACCCACCTGGCCTTTGGGTTCGCACACACCGTCCATTTTTTCTGACCGAAGAAGAATCTGGCAGGCAAAGGAGAGGGTGCTCAGGTTCACGTAAGAGGAAGCAATGGTGCTCATGCCCACCTGACCCCCAAGTCACACTCACATCACGGCCGGCAGGTTGCAGCTCCCGCTCACATGCTGGATCTGGTAATCCTGGACACATTTTCTCAGGCCCCACCTAACGCGGTGCTGATATGCCAGACAGCAGTCCTCGAAGACGCCTGCCACACAAGGCCGCGCCAGGGTCACACCGCTGCAGCGAGCTTGCATGCTCCGGGGCGGCGGCATCCATACCATGCCCCGTGCCCAGCGGAGACCAAGGGACAGCCCAGGTGGCTCGGAAGCCTCCGGGCCCACCCCCAGCCCTTGATACAGGGACAGCTGAGCAGGTGGAGAGGGCCTCAGCTGGGCAGTGCCCAGTGCACCAAATAAGTGGGGGGCCTAGGCCACTCCAACTGTTGCTCAGAGCAGAGAGCCGCAGAGGGGGGTTTCCTCCCCAGGAGGGCTGGGGGCCACCCCGCCTAGCCCCCTCCTGAAATGAGTGTACTGGTCAGCTGGTCCTAGTGTCCCTACTTTTGCTCCAGGCTGGCCCTTCTCCACCTGGGACAATCTCAGTCCCCCTTTCTCTTTGTGCCCATGAGAGTGGCCACTCTGAGACACCGGGGCAGAACTGGGAGGTCTAAAAAAGCATTTAAAGAGCTCGCACTGGTGCCGGGTGTCTAACCAGATGAACAGACCCATAAGGGATCTCCTGGCCTAGGGAGGCATGGGAGTTGATCTGTGCTTGGAGGGAAAATGCAGGGACCTGGAATTGGGGGAGAGGTGCCTCCTTAGGAGGAGGTGCTGGTCCAGTCAGGTCTTGGGGGGATGAGCAGGTAGAACGAGGGGAAGGTGCATGAATGTCGGAGATGGTGCAGGGAACCTGAGGTCCCTTGGATCCACCCCGGTGCTGATCCTTGCCTCCAAGGGGCGGTGAGGTGGGGAGGAGAGGGCCCCAGCTTTCCCTGCACCCCCAACCTTGGCCCCAGAGGGCAAGGAGCAGTGGATCATATGGATGGACCCTGAGCTGCCCTGATAGACCGTCAGCTCCGCCGGCTGGAGGGGCACCCTTTCCCCAGGATCAAAGGGCCGGGGCAGGGCCTGGCTCCCTGATTGGGCCTGTGATAGCAGGACAGTGGGAACAAAGCCCAGGCCCCTCCTATGCTGGGCAAAGGCTAAGGTCTGCTGGGGGCAGGGCCAGGGCCTCTTAGACCTAGGATTCCTGGGGGACATTGCCTGACCAGAATTGGCCTTTGGTCACCAAAATCCTCAAGGGCCAGATCTAGGGAGAAAAGGGAAGGGATTTCCCCATCAATAAAGTGATGGTTAGTATTGCTGCTGGCCCTGGGCCGGGAGTTCTGCAGGCGTCAGCCCACCGGAGCCTCTGTCCTATGTCCGCAGGGGAGTCCAAATAGCCCCATTTTGCAGATGAGGAAACTGAGGCTCACAAAGGCTGCAGATCCTTTCTCAGCTGGAGCACACGGGCAGCTTGGGCGGAGGGAAACTGGGGAGGGCCCCCACTCCTGTTGGTCTCTGGGGCTCCACCTTCTAACACTGCTCCTGGTCTGCAGGGCCGGATCACTACAGTATTCCCTGGCACTGAACAGCTGCACACACCTGGGAGTCCCCTCTGCCCCCCACAGTCCCTGGCCAGTGGAGTCCGGCCGGGAGGCTTCGGGTCTTGACGGGAAGGAAGGCCGGAGCGGCGCGTCCCCAGGCAGGCGGCAGCTGTCCGCGAGAGCTCAGTGTGGGACTGGGCCGTGGGGGCCCCCGGAGGAAGGGAGGGGCCGGGGGCGTTGCAGGGAGGATGAGGGGTTGAGGGGTCTCTAGGAAGGTGGGGTTGGCAGGGGCCAGGACGGTACCTTGCGTGTGGACGGCAGGGGCCCAGGCACTCACGAAGCAGGCCACCAGGCCAAGGAGCCACAGATTCATGGTTCCGGCTGCTTCTCTAACTTGGGCACCTTGAAGGTAACGGGAAGTTGAGGGGTGAAGAGGACCCAAAATGGATAGCAGGATGCAGCGGGAACACCCTCTGCAAAAGAGGCAGGCGGCACTGGGCGCGGGGCCAGGCCGCCTGCTCTGGGGTAGGACTCACCAAAGCCTCCTGGGTCCTGCTGGGCGGGTGCCAACCCTCCTGCCTGCCAGGCCCGCCCGCTTCACCCTTTATACGTGGAGCCCCGCCCTGTCGCCACCCTCCTGCCTCCCACCGCCTCCTCCACACGGCCCTGCCCTCCTCCTCTCCCCGCTCTCCCTCTCGCTCCTCCCCACTGGCAGGGGAGCCTGGAGGGAGAGAGGCACAACTAAGGGCTGAAGACCCCACATCATCGAGCCGAACAGGAAACACAGACCCCCCTCAGCTAACTGCTGGGACAGAGAGGGGGTCCCTTGGGGGTGGGGGGTGAATGAACACAGATGGACAGACGGAGCCCTGACTGGGGCCCGTCTCATGAGCCCGGTGCCTCCTCCTTTGTCCACTCACGCTCCCCCCTCCCCAGGGCTCTGGCCCGGCTGTCCCCCTGAAGGGCCTCTGCACCTTCTCCCACTCCCTGCCTGCTGGACAGCTGGTGGACAGGGCCTTGCAAGGACAGCTCAGGCCTCCTAGAGCCCTGGGAAGAGCCTTCGTCCCCAGCCCACTCCTGAGCCACGTCTTCCTGGGGGACCCTGACTTTGCCCACGTATCTCTCCTTCTCCACAGCGGGGGACTTACTAGAAATATCCTGGCTTTGAGAGCAGGCAAATCTATAGAAACAGGAAGTAAAATGAGTGGTGCCATGGGCCGGGAGGAGGGGAGAAGGGGGATCCTGTGGCAGGGGAGGGTCCCTTTTGTTCTGAGACTGGAAGGGGCGCCTCCGTAGCACACACACTGGATCGTCCACCTCCCTAAGGCGCGGTGTGGGGAGTGGCTATTTTCTGAAAACTACCTTGAGAATCATCTCAACAGAACTGCTATTAACAACCACTACCGCAGAGAAAGGCTCTGGCTTGGGAAGAAAAGTGGGATCCCCAGGCACCCCAAAGCAGACCCAGCCAGGAGGCATGTTTCCTCTTCCGCTCAGCGTTCTGGAGAAGGCAGTCGGGAGCGCGTGTCCACCTGGGGACCTGGGCGCTGACAGGGCAGTAGTGGCCTCTCACCTTCCTGCTCCCAGAGGCTGCCCAGGCCCCCAGATGAAATGTGTTGCCAAGACCCTCTCGCAGGGCACGCGACGAAACCCAGCTAGAGCCCTACAGAAGCTTTGGCAGGGGGGAGCACAGGGAACCGCTTATCTTGTAGCTGCCCTGGACGAAGCCTCCAAGTTCTCTCAGTTTTGAAAATGGCCACTTACCCGCCTGGGGGTCTGCCTTTTCCCTGGTCTCCTTGCTCTCCATGTCGGGGCCAGTTTCAGAGAACACCTGGCGCGACCAGCAGTTTGTGAGCCAGCAGGAGACTGAAGAAAGGACCCCGGGGAAAAAGGCGCTGGACGCTGGGCCAGCCGGGGCGCTCTAGCTGGGGAAGGGGAGCCGCGCGGCCCACATCTGGATGTCCCGGCAGCGCCGGCCATTTTGATACGCTGGTGTGGGAACTTGGGCAGAGTGCTCTCCAGCGAGCAGGAGAGAGGGATGTGGCCTGGGCGGTCTAGCCCCTGCTGTGAACCGCTGAGCGGCCAGGGATGCCTGGCCAAGGTGGAAGCCGCGGCTAGGATGCTGCAGAAGGCCTGAGGCTGGAGATCTTAGTGGGCCATTTTGCAAAGGTGAGGAGCACAGCTGCTCTGGGTCACGAGCGCTTGCTACAGAGCGTGTTTGGGATGCTAAGGGGAAAAGTCAAGATGGCTGGGCTCGCCTCTTCCATCCAGTCACAAGTAAATTGCAGCACAGCAAAGTCAATAGCCCCCAGAGACGCATGGGCGGCTGCACACACAACAAAGGCCTGGCAGAACTCCGCAGCGGCCCCGTGCTGAAAGTGACCCTCTGTCGTCCTGCTGCCCCTGTTCCTCTCTCCCTGCCAGTCCTCCAGCCGCCCCACCAGGTGCAAAGGCAGCATCTGAAAGCGCTTGCCACTGCAACCTATAAACACGAAAACTGGAGAGACAGATGATCTTGTCACAAATACAGGAGCGAAAAAGAAACAAGCGCCTCAGTGCAGCAGAACCGTGGGGACGCCTCAGGAGCTCGAGAGGACATTGTGGCACTGCCCGGAGCCAGCCACCAAGTGAGCCCCTCAAGTGCCAGCCCTTGCTGCCCGCGCAGGGCAGGGAGCCTGCGAGCTCCAGGCCGAGGAAGGCAATCCGAGGAAGGGGCCTGCCCGTTGACCTGGGGGCGCCCTCCGGGCGATGACAGGCCCTGGCCCCCACCCTCGCAGCCCGGGAACGCAGTTCCTCTTGCCTTTCTGCGCCCAGAGAGAGAAAATGTGCTGCTGAGACCCTGCCGTGCGGGAGCTCCTAAGACGGGCGGGTGGGGGAAGGGCAGAAACCGGCTTATCTTGCAGCTGCCCAGGAGGAAGCGGCTCAGTGAGTTTCCTGAGTCGCGACAGCGGCCACCTGCCCTGCGCTGCCACCTTGCGCTCCGAGGGGGCCAGTTTCGGGGGACGCCTGGGCTGTGGCCCAGCTGCAGAGGGGCCGGGGGAAGTAGGGACCGGGGGCCCCGCGGAGGCCCGCGCAGCTGGCGGCTCCCCCTCTTCCCGTGCACTGTGCGCGCCTTCGCTGTGGCCACTCCCGGCCTTTGGTCCACGCGGGCGCGGGGGAGGGGGCGGCCGGCTGGCGGGGCTTGTGGGCGGGGCTTGTGCCCGGGGCGGGGCTCAGGGAGGGTTGTGGGCGGGGCTTGCTGTGGGCGGGGCTTGTGGGCGGGGCGGGGCGGGGCTCAGGGCTGCCACCTGCGCTCGCAGCCGCCCGCCCTGCGCGCCCCGCGGTGCGAAGGCTAAGGCCGGGGCTGCTCGCGGCGGGCGGCGGGCGGCGGGCGGCGGGCGCGCCTCCTCGCTCCGGTGACTGAGGCTGGGCTGGGACGCGGCTCCGCGTGGCTGCGGGCGTGGGGAAGCGGCGTGGCGGGCGGCGGCGGCTGCGGCCAAGACGGGCTTTACCCAGACCCGGCGCAGGAGCCTCCTCCCCTCCCCACGCTCAGGGTGGGCCCCCCCCTCCCGCTCGGCGGCCTCAGCAGGGGCAGGGGCTGCGGAAGCCGGGCCCGAGCTAACCCGGCGCTCCCGGAGGCGAGGCAGCGTCTCGAAAGCCGGAGCCCTGGAGACAGCCGTCGCGAGTGTCAGCTCCCCGTGGCCAGGGCTGAACCCGGAGCGCGAAGGCCACTTCGGTTCCTATAACTGCGGGAGGTGTTAAGGATAAACGACTTGGGGGACCCCTTTCTCCGCATGTGTGAAGTGAGCACAGAGCGGAGGGAACAGAACCTCCCCCTCCTGGTCTCCAGCAGCGCGAGGCCCCGGGGCAAGGGGCTGCTGGAGGCGGGTGGTCTCGAACCTGTAGCTGAGTCAATTACAGGGACTGACCATGCCTGCAGTTTGGGGGGCGAGAAGGGCTTCCTTCGGCGGGCTGGCTGCAGGGCTCACGTGTTGGGCAGGGGTACAGGCACGGTCAGTCCTGGGAGGGCGCCCCTGTGGGTGCACACAGATGACCCACTGCAGAATGAGGCAGGTGGTGGGCGTGTGGGAGGAAGCACACATTGCCCCAGCTGGAGCGGCTCCTCTGGGGCCTGAGCATGGCTAGCTCCCATTTATTTCTGTCCAAGGACCCTCCCTGGTGCTCCATATTGAGTCTCTTTACAAGAGGAGAGGGCCCCGCAGGTCTCAGTCCCTCCACCTTTTCCATGCGGGCCCTCTGGGTGTCCCTCCCAGCCACCTGCTGGGCCCAGGGTGACAGCAGTGAGCCAGCAGATGTGTCTCAGCCACGAGAGGTGACAGCAGTGTCCCTGGTCTTCACTGAATACCTGTTTGGACCTACTTGTTTATCTCATTCATTCAGCAAGCACTTAGCAAGCACCTACTGTATGCCAGTCTCTGGGCTGGGCGTCAGGGAAAAGCAGTGAAGGAGACAGGTGGTTCCAGTCCAGAGCAGTCAAGACAGGCAGCAAATAAAGAAGTAAGGTGCTTTGAGATGAGGTCACTGCTGCCAATCCTGGTGTGATGGGGGGGACACTGGGACAGTCTGGGTTCCTTTAAAGAAAGTGAGTTTGGGTGAAAAATAACCTGATAGGATTCATAGTTATCCCACTTCACAGAGGCAAAACCATGAACTGAGGCCTCGAGGAGTTACATTCCTGGCCAAGCCCAAGGCCTACGCTTTCATTCCACGTATACTGATCCCATGCTGTATTCAGCGTGCCTCTTACATTTTTAATAATGTATTTTATTTGACCCTATGTATATGAACTCTTATCATTTTATCATGCGATCAAATAAAAACAAAGGAGTATTTTCCCCTTTTTTATATAGCCAAGCTACAAAGTATGGCTTATTGAATGCTTGGAGCAGATTTCATATTCTCCACCTTATTAGACATGCAGTTCTGGTACAGGTAATTGTTAACTTACAATTTATGTTGTTTCTTTGTATCTTTATTTTTTGCTAAGACTTGATTTAGTTCTCAGCAAATCAGGAAGATGGTACAGCAATTTCCCACATAGCCCCTGCCCCGAGTATTCCTAAGCTCCCCCCCTCAGAGAGGTATACTTGTCACATCGATGAACCTCTGTTAACACATCATCATCACCTTCAAAGCCTAGTAGTTTGCATGAGGGTTCACTCTTGGGGTTGTACATTCTATAGCTTTACACAAATGCATCATGACATCATGTGTCATGATGGACATCATGTGTCCATCATTATGGTGCACAGAGTATTTTGCAACCCTAAAAATCCTGTACTCCAAGCATGTTTTCTTAAATTATTATTCTGATGTTTTGACAGCTGGACAATGCTGATCCTGGTCCCTTCCTGTCTGTCCCTACCTGTCACACTCACCACCCCCCAGGCCTCCCACCCCACTCCTGAACTCCTATACTGACTCCCCTAAAACCTAACAGCCACCCCTCACCCTCAGGCTCCTGGCCATTCCTTCCTGAGGGCTGTCACCTTCTTTCACATCACAGGCTCATTCCTGTCCCCTCTTTTTCCTCACGTCTGAGACAAGAGCCTGTCTACCTCCAGGGTCCCGTCCCTGGTCTCTCTCGGAAGGCTGAGGCTACACAAACCTGTGCTGGTATTT